TGAAATGAGAGCAGAGTTGCTGAATCTACTTGAAATCCTCCCACCTCCGAAGAATCTTTTTGATTGGAACCATGCAGGACATTGTGCAACGTGGAACCTCGTTCACCAAGATCGTGGGTAAAGGACAACGAAAAAGCTATTCTAGTCTTGAAATAATTTGAGTCTTGGTTTCACATTTTCCTCACCGCGGGAAAAAAAGCTTTTTGCCTCTCATTACCATATACAACCGTCGGCAAACGGCAGTATATCTAACGTCAGTACACTGTCCTTATGTAGCTAAGTCAATATTTTCAAGATCGCACGATCGAGGGACTGCCACTGACCTTGGCGATAGGGTGATTTTCTGTCCTTAAACTACGGAAAAATTGGCCTGAACGGGAAGTGGACTCAGTTCTCTTTCATTGAAGAACCTCTCTCTGCTTGCACTAAATGCACTCGCCAGGCAAGAGAAACCTTATCCATAGTATCACTCTTGTGAAAGAGAGGGATGCCGTGAAGCTAATCCTTCTCCACCTCCCGTACAGGTTTCTTTATCTTAATAGAATTCCCAGGCTATGGAATTGTTGCGAGAAAGAGGCTAGTGAGAACCTCCAGAGATTCGACTCGACGTTCCTCGAATCTTTAACATGTAACAACGCAACGCCCTTCCGTCTTGTGGGGACCTAGGATACCGAATCTCCCCATCGTAAGAAGAATTGTTGAAGGTGCCTGAGGAATCCAGGATAATGTGGCCCCGGAAAAAATGGTCCCTAGTGTAGAAAGGTACTATGACAGCCCATCAAAAGTCAATATACCAATGACTCTGCATTGTCTACTCAAAATAACTGTATAAAAGTGACTTGTAAAAAATAAAATTTGACCATAATTGGCGGCTTGGGGGCGGGGGATATGATCAAGGCAATTACATATTTTTATATCGCCAGACTTAAGAGCTACCACAATCGTTCGAAGTTAGTGGAGGATTAAAAACAAAAGTCACTTTTATAAAGTTATCTTGCGTAGATAATGCTGTGATATTGGTATATTGACTTTTGCTGTCTTAGTATCTTTCTACATACACTAGGGACCCATTTGTCCTTGGATGTATTTTTTGGGACCAAAATATCCGAGACCATATTGTCCGGTACCTGTCCGAGTCCTTTCACTCTCTTTTCATGGAGAGTTTAGTGCGTACGGAAGCGGCGCAAGAAGCGACAGAATAAGGAAAGAATTTAAACTCGATCTGTGCTGTTCGCCGCATGCACAGACACACGGAGACCAGAGTCGAAATATTGACGGATGCCGCAATTTAGAGTTCTAGTTACTATTCAAGCGAAGGAGTGAGAGGAAAAAGTTATTACCATCATATCACCTGTACTATTTATCTTCAGTCAGCGGTTGAACTCCTTGACTGGCATAGGAAAGGCGAGAACGCTATTGTGCAGTACTGATCTGGTCCTGCCAGTCTTGGTACAAAATATCTACCAAGAACACCTGTTCCGACAAGAGGGCGCACACCCACGTTATGCCACAGCTGTCCGCGAAATCCGTGATAATCACCTAGGAGGCAGATGGATCGGTCGCAGAGGATTTGTCGAATGGCCACCAAGATCACCAGATTTGACAGTCTGTGACTACTGGCTATGGAGCTTCCTGAAGGAGGAGGTGCTCTATGAGAAGCCAGCAGATGTTCATGCTTTGATTCTAGCAATTGACAATCACATCACAGGTAATTCCGCTGGAAATCGCGCTGCGTGCATTGGATGATATTCCAAAGCGCTGTAATCGCTGCATCACCACAGATGGACAACAGTTTGAACGCTGACCTCATCCTGTTGCATCTGTGTATCTTCTGCATATTCCTTGCATTCTACATTGACTTAATGTGGACTAATAACGTTTCAAATTGCACAGCTTGTTGAACTCTTGTGGTACTCGTATAATAACCTTCACAACATGCGACCGGAATTCTGGAACATCTTGTACACTTCCCACACCTTATTATACTTTCTACCCTTGCCAATGGCGTAACCAGCCCTAAAGCTTGGAGGGGTTCGAAGTTCTCATGACCTGTTTTTCAAATGTCTCCGAATGCAAGAAGGTGTTATTAAATCATCAGGAAAGATATACTCAACAAAAACGCGAAACGGCGCGAACACGCGAACAAAGAAAATGAAACGAAGAAAAATGTTATGAAATGGTGGAAACGAAATTTGAACTCTAAATGATGAAAGTACATTCGATATCTGAAAAAAAGTTTAAAATGAACTAAATTAATTTCAGGATTCAGCCGAAATATCACTGCGCTAATGTCCAACTGGAAATTCATTAACCTGTACGATTCACTCCTTTTATTTGAATCGTCGTCCTTCCGATTTCCGAAAAAATTCAGTAGCGTCACATGTGCAGGACGTTTCCTTGACAGGTTCACTTTACTAAAGTGAGTTGCTACATGTAACAAGCGTGACCTTCACCTTTCACCTATCTTTGTGCCTTTCCAGCCTCGCTCTCGGGTCGTTTGCTCATGATTTCTTTCCCCCAACCTCGGGGGAGAGGGAGATGGAGAAGTAGAGAGATACCATCATGGGCAGAGGTTTGGGGGGGTTCAGACCCCTGATCTCCCCCCCTTGGTTGCGCCCCTGACCCTTGCACGTTGAACTATAGGGTGGGCCAAAAGCCCCTTTGGGATTTCAATTGTGAACTGTAATAGAACGGATACATCTACGGCAATGCGGTGTGTGGCATTCGACAAAGCAACTGCCAAGTTTAATAACCTACTTTAATACACCTCTATGAGCGCCGTTGGTGGCACGTAAAACATCCAGTCGGTATTCAAGTTCTCGCCATGTGTGCCGTAGTATGTCCAGGTCGATGGTCGCAAACACTGCTGTGATATGAGCTTTCAACTCCTCGAGGCTTCTCAAACGTGTCTGGTAAACCTTGTCTTTGACAAAGCCCCATCGAAAGAAGTCTAACGGAGTGATGTCTGGGGACCGGGGCGGCCATGGAATGGGACCACCTCGGCCAATCCATCTGTCTGGAAACTCACAGTTGAGGTACTCACGAATTTGAAGTCCCCAATGCGGGGGAGCCCCCTCTTTTTGCATTATGTCGTTTGGTTGCAGATCGGCAAGTTGAGTAACCGCAAAGAGCTGAAGCATGTCCAGGTAATTATTTGTGCTCACTGTGGGCTCCGAAAAAAAGAATGGCCCAATGACCCGATCGTGCATCAACCCACACCAAACATTCACCTTGGAACTGTGCATGATGTGCTCCACAACTTCGTGTGGGTTTTCGCTGCCCCAGACACGAATGTTGTGCCTGTTGACTTTGCTAGATACGTGGAAAGTAACCTCGTCTGAGAACATTACACGTTCAAGAAAACCTTCGTCAATTTCTAGGTGCTGCAACATATCCGCCGCAAATACTGCACGACGTGGTTTATCGTTGTGCTTAATCTCGTGCAAGAGTTGAACCTTGTATGCGATTAGTTTCAGTCGTTCGTGAAGCACTAGTCGCAGTGTGGTTCGCGGTACATTCAGTTCTGCAGAGGCCCTTCTGGTGGACTTCCAGGGACTGCGGGCGTAAGCCTCTCATTTCTCCACGGTTTCGTCACTCACACGGGGTCGGCCACTTCTTGGGCGATCCAGGACGCTACCTGTCTCTAAGAATTTCTTCTGCCATGCTCTGATACTGACAACAGACGGTGGATCCATTCCATACTTCGGGCGGTAATTCATCTGCACTTTGACAGATTTTGCTCAAAGAACCAGCCGACGCACATCACCTTTTCCTGAGGGTTCACCATTGTTAACTTTCTCTCCCTTTCCGATCCGGTAACGCCATCTGTTGGCAACTTCTGCAACCTCATAAAACTTGGGCAGTTGTTCTGTCGAATGCCACACACCGCATTGCCGTAGATGTATCCGTTCTGTTACAGTTGACAATTGAAACCCCAAAGGGACTTTTGTCCCACCCTGCAGATTCGATTCACATTATGCTGAAGCCTGGAAGAAAACCAATACCCAGATTCTGATGGCATCTCTAAATCATACGCATCACAAAAACTTATAAAGAGAAACACTCGACCTTCTTTCGATTAATTCAGCGAGTAGGAGCTCCTCACCCTAAACGTGCGCTTGGACTCATCAAGGAAAATAAAAATACCTGGGGTTTCTGTCAGAGTTGAGATTAATTTTTCTCATCGTCTTGCGGGGGAACTCTTTCAATGTTGATGATTGAAATCCCAGCTACATTGCTACCGTGAATATTAGCTCAAACAATGCCAGTAAAGGTGGAATGGCTGCTTATCTCTCGTCGTATTAATTATAAGTTTAAAGGCAGTGGCATGTCGACTTTTATGCTAGTGACTCAGCATCGCCCCCCCCCGGGGGGGGGCTCGCAAATCTCCATCGGGAGCCTGACGTGAATAATTTTTGGACACGCTGTCGCTTGAGTCACGTGTGGTTCTCATGCTATGTTGTCCTCAAAACATATGATTTGAATCTTACCCAACGTTGGGGTTTAATGTCCCAAATGATTTTTTTGCGGGGGCATGTGCTCATTTGCCCCATGCATGAGTGCATGGAGTCCCACGAGCTTAAAAATGAGGGCTCCATGTATGGCATTAAAGTGGTGGATCACACACTTTTCCTTAGTGACCTATAAATGTGAAAAGGTACATGGTGAGAATAAAATCAGGATTATCACATATTGTTAGAATACCGGGGTATTCTTGTTTCTTTCCCCCTGTTGGTATATTCTAAACGAATGTTCGCAGATAATACTGCTCATAATTCACTAAGAGAAACTGCTTTGCGATTTCCTGACATACGAAATAAGGTATACTGATGCGCTTTGTTTGATGCATATCAAATCGGCAGGTGATGGTGGATATGGTGGAGGGGAAGGGGGAGAGGGTGGAGAAGATGATTCACAGTCCCTTAGTGTTCAACCCAGAGAGGAAGGTGGAGGTGTGGCGGTTCCTCACATATATGCTCCTCCATTACTCCTCAATGCACTTACTTCTCAACGTCCTCGTTCAGCTCATCCTGGGTGTCTCCCTTGAGGTCGTCCATGGCTCTATTATTACAGCCATCGTCTACCTCATTGGCGTCCTTGCAGGTCCTCTACATTCCCATCGAATCCCCTCCACTATTGTTAGACTGACCAATCTAAAGCCCGAGATAGTGAGTCGATTTAATGAGTATGGGCCAAAGCATCTTCCAAAACTTAATGTGGAACCTCTTCCAAAGAGTTTAAAAACTCGTTTTGCTTTTTATTGAAGTTTTTTAAGTTGGACAAACCACAAACTGGTAGTGAACATATTTTCAGTATACTCACCATACCCATCACTCATACATAGATGACCCTGATAGGATAATGTGGAGTAAAGCAAAAGGTGGGATGCTGGTTGGGGGGAAGGGACAAACATCCAGTTACCATGCTCTTCCATGCAATAAAAAAAAGAATTAATTATATCAATTTGTAATGGGATGGAATTTCTCCAGTCATCAAATGGAGATACAGAACGCCAGGGTCGGACTGGTGGCCTAGGGGACCCCCCGGGAAATTTTTCAGTATCCTGGTGGGCCAGTCCGACCCTGTAGAAAACGGAAATCCCATGAATAATTATTTCTAGGAAAGTTAATTTCAAGGAAATTCCGACTTTTGAGGTCCATACCCCTCAGCACAAATGTTTTACATGGGGACGTTTCCGAAATATTTTCGTTCCACCGATTCGGGCTGCTGTAGAAAGATGAAACAAGGTATAGACGTATCTGTTGGGGTGATCATTTTAAGAAACATTCTACTTTTGGGGAACATCCCCTGGGAACACAACAGGTCTTCAGGTCTGTTTCTCTAATGTGTTTTGCTCGATTAGGACTCATACCTAGCAGCAGAAACAGGAACAGTGTGGGTTCAATGTTACAGTTCACTACAGAAACAAAAGATATGAATATTATAATGCAATTCATGGCTCAAAAGGTTGAGGACTGAAAGGAAAAAATTGTCTATCTACAAATAATATTTAAGAAATCATGTGTATGCCATGTGAATGGCAAATTGTGTCCTCTTTCAATTGGTACTTTTCACTGTGTTTTTAAAAAATCAAATTATTGTAGGCATACATCACTCTATTCCTTACTTTCAAGAAGACAAGTCACTAGGATAATGGTTCTCAACCTTTTCCTCAGTGTGACTCCATTCAGAAAGCTGGCAATTCTTTCAACCCCAACATCATGCACATACAAGATCAGCATTTGCCTGTGGAAAACATGGTTTTATTAAATTATCCTGCATATTACATACTAAAAATCACTCTGCCCAGCTGCTTCATTGAGACTCCTAGGTTGGGAACTGCTGTGCTATGATATTTACTCTTTCCTTAAAAAAAAAAAAAAAAAAAAATTTTTTGCAGATAGACTGGTTTTCCTTTCACTCCCTCATGGGTGTGTTCTGGTTTCCATTCCTTCAGGTTCAATTGGGATGTCCATCTTTGATCCAGAAAAGTATCTCCTCGGTTCGTCAGCTGGCATTTATGCACTCCTCACATGTCATGTGGCAGACATAGTCATGGTCAGAATCACCTTTTCAGTGCCTACATTCATTAATAAGCCTTGTGATGGTAATAACAATTACCTTGAGTTAGAGGCAAAAGCCTTATAAACTTGCAACTGCTATACAGGGTGGGCCAAAAAAAACCGCCCCAAATTTGAAGTTTAATAACTTGGGCCCTGTTGGGCCAATATCAATTTTTTTAAAAGCAAAATGAAGCTTGTTCAATTTTCTTTCAAATGATATATAATTTTGGGGGGTTTGCTTCAGAGAAATAGCTGCTATTACAGTTTAAAAAAAAAAGTGACAAAATAATTGATTGAAAATGGGCTATTACTCCAAGTTCCTTTTCCTCAACCTCAAATTTATCACTCACACGCTCACAGACCCTTTTAATGACCCAAAAATGGTTCAACGTGTGATCCACGATCTAAAACAGCCTCATGTTACTCGCCTCATGATCGCATGATCTCACAACAACCAATCCGTATCATGCAGGGGCACGTGGGAAAAGGGGGTGCGCGGGAGAAACAGGCGACAGCAGCAGCGCGACATTGGAAAGAACTCAGTACATTTTTTTGTCACTTCTTTTTAAACTGTAATAGCGGCCATTTCTCTCCCACAAACGCCCCAAAATTATATATCATTCAAAAGAAAATTAAACAAGCTTAATTTTGCTCTTTTAAAAATTGATATTGGACCAATGGGGCCCAAGTTATGAAGCTTCAAATTTGGGGCATTTTTTTAGGCCCACCCTGTATAACATTTTCAATTAGGAGGCAAGGCAAATAATTTTTCCTTCTTAGCCCTGATTTAAGGAATTGCTAAATGATGGAACAATTATGCTTGGAATGGTCACTGCAGGTCTCAAGGGAGTTCATGCAACGAGTGATCCAGATTGTGACTGTGAGCACAATGATCTGTGCCGATGTGGGCATCATGATGTATGAGGAAATGAAAACATCCAAGGTCACTCTTCCACATCATATTGGCTGGGCTGCACATGCAAGTGGGGCCCTAGCAGGATTCCTGCTCGGCATGGCCATTCTCCACACCAAGGATACATACTGCATCCTGGTCTTCCGCCTCCTCACCACCCTCATGTTGCTATTGGCGATGTTTGCAGCATGCATCACCATTGAACTCCTTCTCTTAAATCAGTTGTGACTTTTGTGATACTTTTTTACAAATTGACAGTTTCGTGCAATGGTCAGATTTTATACAATATATCATCATCACAATCTCATGATTAAAAATTTCAATCTCCAATACAGAAAATCCTCAAGGATTCTCAAGTCTGAGGCGTTTTGCTGAGTGATTTGCTGAAACATTTGCATTTCCAATCTTACGCACTTGAAGGGGGAAGTCCTTACAAGAGAGATAAATCCGGTTAATGGCTTCCTCATTTTGTGGTTTCAGTGGATTGTCACTCCTCCTGGTCACAAACCAAGCAAATGAGAATGCTGTCATGAAGGCATCAAAGCCAGCTCGATGACACTTGTTACCAGGAGTGAAGACAATTGGGGAATGTCCACTGCAGGGCATTTCAATTAATGCTACAGGATCACTTTCACCTTCATCCTCTGGTTCAATTGCTTCTTCCATGTCGACACATTGGTTTAACTTTCGCTTCCCCTGCATGCGTCTGATGTCCCATTGAAGCAATGATTCAATGTCATGTGCATCAGAGCAGTCCTTCTTGCGACAGTAACCAAAATTAGCATAGTCTTGACACACCTTGCGACCATCACCAGGAGTCAAGATGGGCTTACATGCTTGCACCTCCACCCAGTGGAGTGGCGATACAAGGTGTGGGAACAGCAATCCCAGGTGCTTTGAACCTCGACTGCGAAACTCCTCATTCAGCTGCTGAGACTTTCTGAAAATGTACTCAAGGAATGATGCATCCATGCGGGGGGATATATACTCAGCAATGTACTTGGTGTCAAAGACACCAGCAGGGAACATCTCAACCAGGTCAGCCAGGAATGTTTCCATTGTCTTGGGCAGCTCAGCATAGAAGTGTTGGTAGAGAAAGATGAGATCAATGAATCCATTGTGAACCAGAACAGGAACTTTTGAAGCCATTATGAGGGCAAACAACCTTCGCAGGCAAAATGGCACCTCCTCTCTGTGAAATATAATCATTTTTCAGAATTCATTAGATGAATAAAGGATACAAAAAATTTACATTAGAAGGATTAGGCATTCTCTTTCTTTAGGTGCTGCCATGAAATTCCCTTGCATTAGGAAATCTCTGATTTCATGTAATGTATATATGTCTCAGTTGACACCATTAAGATTGTTTCATAATTACAAAAAGGAATTATAAATGCTTTCATGAATGCCTTGAAATTCTCAAAAGGGATGAACATTACAAACCCAATGAATTACCCTATAGCAGTGGTACCCAACCCATGGCCAGTGGGCAAAAAGTAGCCTGTGAGGCCCTAACTCACAATAACCTCAGGTTTTCTTAAAATAGTCTCCTACAATACTGGTGACTTAATATGGCCCACAATTGTTGTGGTAGTGAGCTATGTGGCCCCCCAGCCAAAAAGGTTGGGCACCACTGCCCTATAGTGATGGTATGAGGATACAGTTAATAATCAAACTCACTTATTCAGTCTGTCATTGCCAGACCAGTATTGGATGCCATTGAGATACTGCTTGGTGAAATCAAACCCATGCATGACAAGAAATTTCATGGACTCTGGGTCAACTACATAAGCATCTCTCCTAAGTGTGCTGATATTGAAGTTCTGCACAACATATTGCCACTGTGTGCCATCCCGCATCTTTCCTCGCCACTCCCTAGGCTCCAATGCCACATTGAGGAAGCGAAAGGTGGACACTCCAAGTGCCACCACCCCCCGAGACCTGGCAACATCACACACATTGCAGTAGCGCTCCTCAATGTTATGGGCATTGATCTGGCGTCGTGGTCCAAGCCCACTCAATTCACAGTCCAAGGCAAGAAAAGTAGCAGTTTTGATGGCCTTCTCAAGTGCAACCCAGACCTGAGATGCACTCTCCATATGGACATCTATCACAGGCACTTCCTCAAATGCAGGTGGCTCCATTCCCATGAATTAGACTTAAGTCTGCATTTTCCCAATGTGACTCCACCTCTAGCAGGCTACCTGTATGGATTTTAGGCCTGTGAAGTTTGAGTGAGATAATCAGAAAGATACATGCTAACAAATGATAGAAGCTAGAAAATATTGCCAGGAAGCAAAACTACAACTTACACAATGAGCACTGTACAACAACTGATTTATCATTGACCTAATATATGGCCATTGCCTATAAAGGTCTGGATGATGACTGAGCATGAATCTGGGTCTTAACCTAATGATTAGCAGCAGGCATAAAGTCCTATCCTGCAAGCATGTTCATGTAGCATCAGAAGAGAGTATTTCATAGTTTAGAGTTACCAAAGGATGGCAGTCTGTGATCTGGATGAGGCCCTTCTATTGACTCATCTGCAGGATGACACTTTCACCCTTCAGCAGTAAACAACTACCACATGAATTCTCCCTATGGGGATTGCTGGTGACAAGTGCATCCTCAAAAAAGGATATAAATTTGCAGATGTGATTGCAAGGACAGAGGCAATCATGGGCTCATCTACATGTGACCAAGTCTGCTGGACATTCACTCTGCTCACCGTCATATTGGGCAGTGTGTTCTGCATTGAGCATGGGAGTCCTGCTGCCACTCATGACTGCCCTCTCCCATCTGGGAGAACACCACTCACTTCTAAGGTGATGGCTGCAGGTTGCAGTATAGACACATGCAACACCCACAACTGATCCATTTGCAATTATGAATCCTAACATTGCTCCAAACAGTGTGCATGGCACAAAGCCAGGTGTGCACAAGACTAAGTCTATGTAAACTAGGTGTACACAAAACGAAGGAATACCCACATATTTTGCTGAAAGTGTTGATATTCAGGGCAACCCCAGGTTTTCATTCACTTCAACTAAATGTCATGCACTTCAGGAGCACAATGATTAGGGAATAGCATGAAACAAGGCAGCACAGCAGTCCAGAAATAGGCAGGTATGGGGGGGGGGGAGGAACTGGCACTGACCTGGAGGTAGTTGGATCAAGGGTGATCCTGGATAGAGCCAGATGCTAAATTGATAAGCCCAAAAGATGCCATGATTTTATATTCAGTAAGATACTACAGTGATTTTCTTTAGAATTCACCCTACTCCTCTACTGTGGCAGAAGAGAAAACGTTCACAATTCCTACCTCAGTATTCCATAGCCAAGGGCAAATATTTTATGAAGGCATATAGGCAAATTTTGCTGAATTTATGTAACATGTAGGTGTCATTGAGCTGGGAGTTGGGGGGGGGGGGGGGGGAACTCCAATTAAAGTCACTGCACATAATGAAGGGAGATACAGATAAGAAACCAGGCAAAATATAAGTGCATATCTCTTCTCAATGTCCAGTGCTTATGCCTGCAAGCCAGCCAATGTGAACATGAAGTCTGGAGATTCAGTGTGCATAGGAAGATGGAATTTCCTCCAAGCCTAGAGGCCTGGTTTGGAACCTTCCCATTCTAAGTTTAGTGCTTTCCACTTTACTTGGAATTTGGATGTTCCTTGTAAAGGAATGTCCATGTAATGGAAAAAATTGTCGACTCAAGAGAAAAACACAACAGTTCTAATAGCTATTCATAGCGTAACCTTTCATGGTGAAACCATGAAAGGTTACGCTAAGTCTTGGTCTATAAGTCACCACCGAATTATGACCTCGCTCACTTTCGTGCTGGGATGGGAGCAGTCTTCAGTTGTTGATGTAAAACTCCAGGCCCATCCAAGCCCAATGAGTGAAAAACAACCAAACTGGTATAGTAAGAGGAATCAGGAGAGCGTAGTAGACAGAGTCAGATTCCAGCCAGGTCAATGTTTCCCCGTCCAACATATCTCGAGGATGCAAAATCACAATGCACGTCCAGATAGTGACTTTACATGAAACTCTCACGACGGACTGGTAAATAAGTTATCTTCCCGTGAACTCCGCGATGAGCATGTAGCCTATAAAAAGGGGAGCACGCGGGAGAAGCCTGTCAAACACGTGACTAGCAATACGAATTCTTACTCCTATCCAACATGGGCGCCATGGGGCAAATGCTAACGTTAGGTCTTTCAAGAGAAATATATCCTATATCCTCTTTGCCAGCATGATGTAAATAAAATGTACATAATAAAAAGTTATACAAATTCATTTGAAAATCATTGTACTGTATCAGATCTTTCTGGCCGGTCCAGTTCCCAATTGGACACTTCAGAACTGTAATTGTCGTCACGAGGCATGGTGACGACCATATCAAGAGTCCTTTTGCCTTATGGTAGGCCACCGAGCGCAAGGGCTCAAAGGCCTTAAGTCAAGGCCTAAAAAGGTCAGACTTGAAATCCTAGCTAACCTGCTACACCTCTGTACTTTAGTGAATACCTCTTTCGCTCAAGTGAAAAGGTGTCAAATTCAACCGAGAAGCACTGCTTGTAGCGAATGTCACATCAATTAACTCTGGGAAAAGCATATTGCTTACACGACGAGTTCACGCTTAGGGCAAACCGTTGTTCTCCTGGGGCTTATTGACACCAAGAGAACTAAATTTTCCCTTGGTCTTACGTATTATGTGGCCTGGAATGCCGTAATGTCCCAATAGAAACACCAGTAGCACTAGTGCCCTTATGTAGGTGCGAACTCATCGCGAATGATGAGGCCAAGTTCGTGACGCCTTCAACCAAAGGGGAGGCGGAGGGATATATCCAACTCGTTGACGGCTGCCATTTCGGCTTCGGTAAATGATTACTGGAATCCCTTCGGTAACAAAAAAGTGAGTGGTTAATATGTAATGTGGGAGGTGTGCTTTTGCGCTTCATCTTTATCTCCCCTTAACCATATTTTAAACCAGGATATGTTGCACATTTTGTTAAATATGAAGCTGGAGGCAAGGTGTTCTGAAGTTCACAATTTTTGGACAAGTGAAGTAGTCTTCGTATACTGAAGCATTGTGCAGTGGCATCTCCTGGTGCCTGGAGGGCCTTCATAAAAGTTTGAGCACCTGTTAACCAAGTCCATAGAAAGAGGCCTTCTTTTATGACCCTTCAAAGAAGTAAGGGACTGAGGAAAATGTTCATTTTAGGGATAGGATGCAAGGACAGTGCCACAAATAAAGGTGTAAGTTGACACAATCCCCTTGGTGAATATCAAGGACCTCATTTATTATCACTTGCAGAGATGCTATTCTGATGGACTTAATCAAATTGTGAACCTTTGACAGTCTACTGCCAACACAGAGATTCAGAATACCAGCTATGTACAGGCAGACAAGTAAATCTATTGATAGATCAACTTGTCCCCATCTTCATCAATTTTTTAAGTGATAATGACTTGTAGGTCTAACATTAAGGTATTAACTTAAAAGAGTGCCTATGAATAGATTTTTCTCCCAACTGTGAAAAGTATTCGGTAAAAGAAAAGTGTATCTGGGGTATAATGTACCCTCCAACTGTCTTGTCTTTAATGGTAATTTAACAGACTCAGCCTAAAAGGTGCTATGAGGTGGAAAATGAGTCTTTTTTAAGTAAAAATTCTAATCTTTCCACTGCTTCTTATTCTTACCAGCTGGAATCACAATCTTTTTATATTTTAAGAATCCTTCCAGACATCACTCTGACATCATTTTCAACATGGCCATGTAGTGCTTAAGTACTTTGGCAACCTTTTTTCTTATGCTCCCAGGTATTTTTGAATAATAGATATGTAATACCCCAAGCATGAAAGCATGGTTGCTGCAATCTGTGGGTTCTGGCATTATTAGCATCAAAGCTGATGATGCAAGTGGTGTGGTAATTGCATGTCCCTCTTTCATGTGGGTTTTACTTTTGCATATTCTCCTATATAATTACAAAAAATTAGGGTCCCATACTAGACAGAAGTTAAAGTAAATGCCTTGGCATCTTTCTTTAAAAACCTTATTTATGTATTCTATGTTGCTTGCCCTCTTACCCCATGTCTTAGCAGCAGGGAATGCCAGTCCTACATGCCAGCCCATACACTATTCCCACAAAAAAGGCTGTGGAGTCTCTCTGACCAGGAAGGAGAAAATCACCTCCAATCTTCAAGTCCCATTTGGGGCAGAGTAACACATGACTCTCTTCTAATTGAATATGTGTCCTAGCAAGTTGGGGAATGAGAAGGGGCCCTAGGGAATGTATGAAATGGGAATCAAGAAGGGCCAAACAGCCTTGGGGCTTGGGATCTGCTTGTCTTCTCCTACCCTTGTTTCCATCATCCTGTTTTTTTTTTTTTTAAGGTATATTAATTGTTGAAAGATGACCATTATTGACCTGAGAATCTCTTTTAACTTGTGCCATTTTCAAAATCCTGTTTTGTTTTTTTGTTTCCTTTGATGGCACAAGGCAAACTGGAGGGAGCAACCAAGGGAAACAAAATGATGGTTGATGCTGGTTAAAACCCATTAATAGGCTTTTGCATACACCCAATGTGCTTTGCAATGTGTTTGCTGCAAAAAAAAAGAGGGAAGTACCCTATCATTCATGGCACCCTGTATACTGGGAATGTTACCAATAATTTATTGGACGATAAAAAAAAATAATTGCCTATATCAGTTTTATCGAAGAATCAATATCCAAGGTTCCCTTTTAAACCTTGGTTTTTAGTTGGAAAAAAAATTCAAATGTAATATGATAACTTGACAACCAAATTCTTGAACCAAGAATATTTGACACAGGGGATGCTTTGAAAGAAAAAGTCAAGAATCAAAGGGCAAAAGCCTTCCTTCTTCAAACATACTTTAAATTATCCAACAATGGTGCAGTTGGCCTGATAGTGAATGGAAGGAGGTGAATATATCTACAGGCAGACCTGCCCAAAGGTTTCCAGAGGCTACTGTATGTATGGGGATGACTGGATGGACCCTTTTGGGACCTTGGCATTGGCTCTCTTTGGAGATCACAATCCTGAATGCCAACTTAGGTTGAGCAAGCAAAAACACACCCTGCAATACTCAGTCTCCTTGGGTTAGCTCCCTCCAAGACCTATGTGCATCTCTACCTCCTTCTTGCCACCACTTCTATGCTCACTTTCTACATTCTTTCCTGTATCTCATTTGAAGTAGATAAACACCCACTTCGCTGCCAACTGAGTGTCTCTTTTCCTCAGATAATCCGCCATTTCATATCAGTATCATTCTGGTGTTTGCAATTGAACTTTAGCAGCTCAGACTCAGCCTGAATGCTGAAAGCTCATTTAAGCAAAATAAAGGGGCATTTAAGCAAAAGTGCTCCTTTCTCCCCATAAGAGTCCATGGTTTCCAAAAGGACCATTAACAAAAGGAGATTTCAACATTTGGGCTTCATTTTTCTGTCTTTAAATGACCTGGGGGGTGTGAATCAGTTGTAGCTCTCCTGTAGATACATTTTTAGGGTTCTGGGTTAGGCACAAGAGGAATGACTCCAACTCCAACTTTCAAAGACAGTCTCTCCAAACACTTCCTCTTATTTATGCTTTCCAATTTGAAAAAATTAAATATAGAGGCTCACCTTATTCCATTTCCATTTTCACCAAAGCTATGCAGATCAGCCTACATTATGCATGGTCAGTATTGCCTTCCAGCTCCATAGGATAACACTGGACTTCGTGAGACATTCATCATGATTATCGGTTTATTGGATATCAGTAAAAAAAAAAAAAAAAAATCCCCATCCCTAATCTATATAGTGCATTTTTTTCATAACTGACCTCATATTTAGCCTACAATAGAAGTGCAATCAAATAACACAAAATTAGCTAACAGGCACCCTTTTTCTGATTCAAGTCTCTTTAGGATAGACATAATATTAGTGAATCATGAGCAAAAGTTTATGGTAAGTTTACTGCATTAGCCTAAATGTAGCAATGAATATTACCATTTTCATGTAGGTCTACCATCCCAATTTCCAAGCCAATGTGATACATGCAGATGAAGCTATTGGCACATCACAATATACCTATGTTGAGTGATGACAGACAGCTGTTAGGCTCAACTAATCCTGGTTAAGTGGCCTGACCTTGGACAAACACTTCCATGTTGCCAAGATGTCGAAGGAGGATTCCATTTATTACTGGAACCCTTTTCCTCTTCACCACTGTTCTCATCTTCATGATGATACAGGACTTTCACTCCTTCCCTGCTAGCAGGCATGATATGAACCCTTCAGATAGAAACCTTTATAAGGACAGCAGAGTTGATGCTGGAACTGCTTTTGCTGCGATGAGGGAGGACCCACTTGAAGATGGTAGATATGAAGCTGATGATGTGAAAGAAAAGGAAGCCTTATCCCCAAGTGATGAAAAAAAGAACCACATGATAGTCAACTATGATGTCCACATTTTCTATTACCCATGGTATGGTAACCCAGAAGTGGATGGAGACTGGTATCACTGGAATCACCAGTATTTGCCCCATTGGGAGAAAAAGAGCAACTTGGATGGTCAAAGGCACCAACCACCTGATGACATTGGGGCCAACTTCTACCCGCAGCTTGGCCCCTACAGCTCAGCAGATGAGATTACCATTAGAATGCACATGAAACAAATTCAGAGTGCTGGGATTGGTAAGAATCTGAAATCCTGTTTATCTCCAACTTTTTAGATATAAGTTCTGGACTGATATTTGACTTCCAGATTATGACTATCTGAAAAGTTCATTTCTTCAATTTCTTCATCCTTCAACTCATAAAACTGTGTTTCTGGTATATTCAGAGTTGCAAAGCCTAACATTTTTAGCTCTCTAATCTCAGTTGGGTAAATGCATTGCTAACAGAACCACATGAAGACAAGTTTGCCAAGCAGAGGCAAGAAATTGAAGCCTTAGCACACAATTTTTTTATTTCATTTTTCATTGGTATCCTAGCAGGATGTTGAAGTGACTTCAAAACTTCAAAAATCTTTTCCTGTAGGAGTAGTGGTGGTTTCTTGGTACCCACCTCACATGGCTGATCAAGAGGGTAAGGAACCAGATTCCCTGATGTCCAAACTACTAATTGCAGCTGAGGAGCAAAACCTAAAAGTTGCCCTGCAAATTGAACCCTTCAAATGTCGGTCAGCAACCACTATGCGGGATGCACTTACATATGCCTTCCATACCTATGGATCTCACCCTGCATTCTACAAGACTAGGCGAGGCACCAGAGACCTCCCAGTGATATATATATATGATTCCTACCTAGTTACAGATGAGGAGTGGAAGAGGTTATTATTGCCAAGTGGGAATCTTACTGTGCGTTCAACAGATCTGGATGCCATCTTCCTGGGATTGTTGGTGGAGGCAAGGCACATTCAGTCAATCCATCAAAGTGGCTTTGATGGAGCATATACTTACTTTGCAGCCAAGGACTTCTCATTTGGATCAACATGGGCCCTTTGGGTGCAGACATCTCGTTCCTTCCATGCCAAAAAGCTTCTCTTTGTACCATCTGTGGGACCAGGTTATATTGACACAAGAATTCGACCCTGGAACGGTGTCACCACTCGGCTCCGCAATGATGGAGGGTATTATAACTCATCATGGAGGTATGCCTTAGGGGCCAGACCTGATTTTGTTTCTATCACCTCCTTCAATGAGTGGCATGAAGGATCCCAGATTGAACCCGCCATCCCAAAAGAGATAGATAGTTTTAGATATATTGATTACACACCACAAAAGCCTGACTACTACTTACAGCTCACTCGAACCTGGATAAGTTCGTGGAATCAAAAGAGAAAATCAAGAGACTAGTTTGGAAACATGTTGCATTGCTTTTTAACACCATTGCATTCTCTCATTGCATAGCATTGTTTTTCAACACCATTGCATTCTCTCATTGCATAGCATTGTTTTTCAACACCATTGCATTCTCTCATTGCATAGCATTATTTTTTAACACAATTGCATTCTCCCAAATTTTGTTATGTTGATCATCAAAGTGAATAAAATTCTTTGGAACCAAATTGGGACAATTTTTCATTGGCAATCAAAATAGAAAAAAAAGTTTAAAGGCTAAAGCAACTAGTGACATCATTTAATGACCAGGATGGTGCGTACTTCAAGGATGAATTTTTCAAAGTTGTTGCGGAACTTGGCACGAGTGGCACGATGAGGTACAAGGTGGATCCCATCCAAGAGGGCAGTGAAGGCCTGGGCTAACCGTTGAGCCCGGCTTGGATCCCCCTGCTGTGTTATCAGGTTCTCCACCATCTCCTTGTATGTATCCTGAAGATATGAAGTCCAGAAAGTTTTTATCCCTCAGCTTATGAATACATATGCCTAGCAGACAAAAAAAACTCACAGAGTAACAGCAGATGAGACCAAAAAGAGCTGCACTGGCTGAGCTCAGATGGTCTGAGGTAATGTTTTCACTTAGTATGGCATCCATCACCAACTAGAGGGATTAAAAACACCTCAATTAATGAAAATGTAAAAAAAGATACTGTACTGAAGGCCTGTTCAGCCTAGGAAAAAGCAGATGACAGGCCACATGCATTCCTTGAGGCCCACTTTGTCCTAAATTGTTTTGACTTATTTACAAGAGTCTTCATACTTGAATGAGACTCATAAACCATCTGTTGAGAACAATTTCAGAAATTTGGGGATATCAAAAAGGAGAAAAACAAATTTTTGGCTAGGCAGCTCATAAAAAATGGTATAGAATTACATCTTATCAAGGACACAAAGATTTAACAAAAGATATATACTGGGTAATTAAAGAAATCCAATTATTTTCCATGGGGGAAGTTAGCTTTGCAAATGCAACCAACAACATTAAGCAACATAAACACCAGTAACTGATTGATTCTTGGAGCCTGAAGCTTAAAATGAGATCCAACATGTGACCATATTTAGGTTTAGATGAACTCTCCATGCCTCTTCCCTGGCTTCTTAGTTGCATCATCTCTGATGAAAGGGAGGTTTTTAAAACAAATATCATCCTCATGCAGGTTATGAAGGTATTTGTATGGTTTTTTATAATTAAAGCTGACATTTGCAGATCTTGTTCTTTTTAAGTATCTTCTGATTCCATGGCTAAGGCCATCAAGACAATCACTTATAAGGAGGTAGGTCCATTTTATGCAGAGAAAACTCTGGAATCTCATGGCAAAAGTTATGATGGACTGATGTCACAAAATTTACATCACTGCATTTTTAGCAGCTTACAACTCATAAATTATGAAAAATATATCACTACTCAAGGAAATTTAAAAACAAGGGAACTTCAAGGCAGGCTGTAAAATGTAGAGGGTGAGGCACAATATTATACCCCCTGCCCCCACTTCAGAAAAGATGAACAATGTCTGATGGGAATTTTTTACACACCATGATTATATTGATTCACTTGAGAACATAGACACACATTGAAAATTTTGTTTGACCCTCATTTGCTAGATGGATAGCATCCTGTCTGCTAGGGTAAGATCTAGCATAGTCCCAAAGATACCACTTTCTTAACAGCAACCTTGCTGATGAAAATCAACCATCTGAAGGCTAGGAGAACATTCTGGCAATAGCAATGTCACTTGTTCTGCATCACAAAGCACCTTCCTTCAAGGCTCAGGCTACTCAAGAACTGCTGTTAGAAAATCAGACTGACTTTTAAGTGACTTTACTTTAAGAGCACAGAATGGCTGAGGAATTCTCCCAACCTTAATGTCTGTGAAAACCAATGAGCTTATTTTAAAGGAATGAACTGAATCCAGAATGTTCTCTGAGGCTCTTGACAGTTGATTTTCATAAGCAAGATTGCTGTTCCATTTGGCAAAGATTTTGCTAGAACATGATGAAAGTGATCTCTTCAGGATTTGGCTGGAATCTTACCCTGGTAGGCAGGATGCCATCTGTCAAGTAAATAGGGGTCAGACAGACCTTTCAGTTCATTACTATTTTCTTGAGATATCCCTTAGTCACAGTGTGTGTAAAATTCTTATCAGACCTTGTTCATCTTTTCCAAAGAGGGGTAATAAAACTATGCCCAACCCTTTTACGCACCTAGTAAACCCTTGGTCAATGTGCAGAACAATAAACTTTGTGACATTCACATTATACAGGGTGACCAGAAAGTTCCCAGACATCTTTTCATAGGGCTATTACTTTTGGAGGGAACATTAATTTTTCTGCAGAGAGCATTTTTGAAAAATCATTTTACTTTTCTCTGTTGCATGTAAAAGTCAAATTTTGGATATCAGGTCTAAAGATTTTTTTTTAAGGCCATGGATTTAAGTCGCTCCACAATTGTGAAGGCTGCGTGCAGTCATTGATCAGTTCCCAAAATGATTGAAGCAGTGCATCAAAGCAAAGGATGGACATTTTGAAAATGTTTTAATGTATTAGTTAAAAATAGTCTATTCTGTAATATTTTCACCAGAAAATATTTGTCACCATTACTTTGAATAAAATATTTGATTTTTAAAGTGTCTGGGAACTTTCTGGTCACCCTGTAAAATACCCTTCTGAAGTTTTCTGAATTGGATGAACTGGAGTGGTATGTTATTTGAGGTAAATTAAACAAAATAATATATATATTAAAAATTGTTTTTCATGAAATCAAGATCAAAAGGCACTGACCTTCATTTATCAGATGATGACTCTCTTATTTTAGGAATGAGTGTAATTTCAATACTAGTTAAGGAGAGAGCTCTTCAAGAGCTTTCATCTGACCTAAAGAAAATTCATGTCTTGAAATAGTTTGTGAGTTATCAAGGATTTTATGCTGCAAGGGCATCATGATACCCCGTAAAGGACAAAACTTTGACATCTAATTTCAGAAATCAGGAGAGCCAGCAATGAAAAAAAAGAAACCAAATTGCTTGGGTTTGTTTCTCAATGAGGTCATATTGCATGCCAATTTGCTCTGGATTCCTGAGATGACCCTCCATAGATACTGGAACACTTGAGATGGAAATTTGACCTTCTATGGCATATTGCTGACCTTGAGGAAGACCTTGACAAGGTCCCTTGCAGGACCCTGGACATGAGGGTGCAAGGCAAGATGCATGCTGATGGCATGAAGGAAGTCAAGGACTTGTTGGAGCACCTCTGGTCCAAATGCCTCCATTCCAACCTCCATCCATTTGAAGAGATTCAGCAGGTGGTCCCCTGGAAGGGTGCACACCTTCTCTGGGTAGATGTCAGCCACAAAGGTGATCATCTTGAAAAACTCCTTGCATAGGGTGGGATAGTGCAGAAGGTCCATGTTGATAAGAGGCATGAGGAGGTGCATCCCATGGAGGCAGACAGCTGAGGCTGATATCTCTTCTGTTCCTTCCCCACTGCTTTCCATGCTGACACTGCTTTCTGTAATTATCATGCACAACTAGTGATGTCATATTAGTTTCACACAGTTCTCTAAATCTAGATAAACTGCTGCAAGGGCTGGGTTATTTTTCCAATCATCTGATCCAAAAATAATAAATTCTCAACTAATTGTAAATGAAATGCAGCAAAATTTTGAGCCTCACAAATTCCATGAGGTACTTGAATCATGAAAAAGGGCAGACTAATACCAATTCCAATAAAAAATTTTTTGCTATAGGGTAACTTGGGGGAATATGGACACCAAAAATGAAATCAGGTTATAGCGCCACATATAGGTGAAATGAAACTTTGCCAATATTCAGAAAATATTGATCGATGTCTCCTTTATTTATTCCCAACAAGATCCGTGCAGAAAAGTAAATGGGAAAAGAGTATTTGGGACCTCTTCAGATGGGTCCCAAGAGGCCATATTACCCCTATTGTTGGGGGAATATGGCCAGGCATTAGGGGAATATGGCCCTACAAAATGAAATCTGGTCATCATGGTCCATCAAGGTTGAATTTGACTTTTACAATGTTTCTAAAATACTGATTGATATCTCCTTTGCTGAATGCCAGCAAGACGTATGCAAAAAAAAACATGGTTATGGCGCCTTTGGGTCTTTTTTGAGTAGGTCTCAAGAGGCCATATTAACCCTATAGTTGGGGGAATATGGCCACTTTTGAAAAACAACTCCAGATTGTCCAGGAACGTGTGAAATGTGCTGGAACATGCTGAGTACATTGAAACATGATAAAGGACTTGCTCAAGGCTCATATTAGTTCCACGGTCATGAGTCAAAGAATCGTATGCATATGACTTTTAAGACATCGATGTATCCCGAATTCCTGTGGGAACTGGATTGATGAACAGGTCTGCACATTTCGACAATTGCATGTACTCTTCAATAGAACTATGTTTTTAATTCGCCCAAACTAATTATTCAGTCTATAAGGGGATTCCTTGTGAAGGGCCATATTACCCCAATGGCCATATTCCCCCAAGTTACCCTATTCCTGAGCATGAACCAAAGAGAATCAAGAATTCATCAGTATTGTGGTTTGACACTCATGAAAAATGGAGACTGCAGTTACCAGTAGAATTTAGCTTGAAGCTTGTGCTGAAGGAGTAATTCATCCAGAATTCTACGACAAAAAAATTCTGGTCCCATAGCAAACGAATATTAATGAGCAAGGTACAATAAAAATGCCAGATCAAAGTATGTATACCCCAGGTGGATGGGAATTCAACATTTCCTTCAATGGGATTCAATTTCAAAGACAATAGGAAGGGATGATATTGGAAAAGGAATCATTCTCACCAGCAGAAGCAAAATCACAGACAATCTCCTTGGCAAGAATGTTGGTGAGGAGATGGATGATGAGGAGGACATCCTTGTATGATTCCTCCTCATCCTCAGCTTGGTCCCGCACTAGAGTGCGGAGGTTGTGCCCTGCATATAACCGGATCCCACGGATGGCCAGCTCATAGAACAGCCTTGCTTGAAGCCTGTCCAGATGACACAGCATGGAGATGGCCATCTCATTGAGGAGTTCCAGAATGAGATCCACAACAAGGAAATGGTTCTCATAGACAGAGAGGAGATCCACAGTGCGAGTTAGGCTTGGGTAGATGGCAGAGAAAAGTAGCTCTGCTGTGGATGGCCGGGCTCCCTGCATGACCCCAATGAGGCAATCCAGGAGGGTCATGAGCTGCTTCATCACTGCCTCTGTCTGACTCAGCTTCAGGAAGTCAGGTTGCCCCAAAAGAGCAGGGAAGTTCTCCGTGATGGGGATCAGCAGCTGGACACATTCATCACCATGTGCAATTCCCAGAAGACTCACTAAAGGGCACTAAAATACCTCTTGCAATAAAAGCAAAGTTACTCTAGTGAGCTTGACTCCATGTTTTACATATCATATTCAAGGTGATGATTATCACACTTTCTTTTTTCAGAAAAATAAAATCTAGTAGGTCTTCATAAGTACAGGGTGTTCCAAAAGAAACTACCCACTGTTTGAAGATGCATAACTCAGAAAGTAAAAGGCGTAGACCAAATAATATGACACCACTTTGTAGACCAGAAAGTTCTCTTTACGATGGTGTAAGGAAGTTCACTCAAAACAGTTCCGTTTGAATGCCGCCAACGTCTAGACATTTTTCCAGTCGTGATAGAACAGAACGGCACACTTTTTGACACAAATCCACAGGCAGGGAATGGATTGAATCAATGATTGCTTGTTTGAGTGCAGCAACTGTCTGTGGCCGCTTACCATACACTTGATCTTTCAAAACTCCCCAAAGAAAAAAGTCAGCTGGTGTCAAATCTGGTGACCTCGGTGGCCACTCCACTGGGCCTCTGCGTCCAATCCAAGAATTGGGAAACTTTTTGTCCAGCCACTGCCGTACCTGCTGACTGAAATGTGCTGGAGCTCCATCGTGCATGAAGTAAAGGTGCTCTGCTTCCACATGGTGTTCGATTTCTGGCCACAGCTTTTCATTGAGTAATGCTAGGTATGAATTTCCTGTGACAGTTCCATCAAAAAAGAATGGTCCAATGATACCTCCAGACCATATTCCAGCCCAAACAGTGACACCTTTCGTGTTGACCACCTTGTCCATTGTTATCTTTGGATTCTCTGTGGACCAGTACACGCAGTTGTGGCGATTGACGTGACCATTTAACTTGAAAATTGCTTCATCAGTCCAAATGACTCAATCCAGTAGAGTGGCATCATTCTCTAGCATTTTCAAGAACACTTCACAAAACTCAGTCCTTCTGTCCGTGTCTCCATCTGAGAGGCCATGAATCAGTATTGGCTTATATGGTTTGAGACCAAGTTCTCTCAAAATGTGCAAAATTGTTGATTGAGACACATCCAGCTCCTGTGACAGGCGACGAATGGACGTTTTTGGTCTTCTTTTGAGTGACTCTGAAATGGCCTTGGTTCTTTCCTCTGTGCGAGCATTTCTTGGCCTGCCACTTCTTTCACCAACAAGGACACTACCAGTGGTATCGAACTTTCTGACTAGAGCTACAATGGATTTCCGTTCTGGGGGACGACGCCCAAAAGTTTTCTCAAACTGCTGTTGCACTTCTGTCACATTTTCATACTTAGCATGCCATTTGACTATTTGTACCCTTTCTGCAATGCTAAGGCGAGATCTTCCAGCCATCCCCGAGTATATTACTTTCCCTTTAGGCTATAATACACACACCAAAAATTATCATTGCCTATGTATTTTACCAGAAGATATACCCAGACAAACAGTGGGTAGTTTCTTTTCGAACACTCTGTATACTATGAATCAGCACAATGGCAGGGTAGAAGCACATGAAGTGACCTTTTCATCTTTAAATTTTATTTAGGATATCAGCATTCCTCATCTTAAGAAAACTCTTTGACATTTTGTTGGGTGCCTTTAAAATCCATGGGAATGCAGCTATTACTACATCTCTTCACTTATCATCTCACCACCATTGGATTGCTTCTGGATAATCCTACCATAGTGCATTGCAAGGGTGATGAACATATGGACAAAGGCATTCATCCTTTGCCATTTGGCCTCTTGTCTGGCCTGCAGGCCAAGATGTCAGCCATCCTGGATTGTGGATATATTCAGGTAGGGTACATGAACAGTTGATGACAATCTTTTACAATCTCTCACCTACTCCTTTAGATCTATTACCATTCCCTCTTTACCATCCATATTCCTCCCTTCCCTTTCTTTTCTCTTTCTGTTCCAGAGACATATGAACTGGTAGCCAAGGAGCAAAATTTCGAAGTACTGCGATCACCAGTAATTTGTATGTAAAAGGACAAAAGCAACAACAGATGAAGTGTTTCTGCAACACAAGACTTGTTTTATCAACCAACATGGGGTCAGACTTCATTTGGCTTGGATGACAACCTATACCTTTCAGGTGCATACCAATATCAATAGGCACCATACCACAGGATCCAAGGGCATGCATATTGTCTGGTACCTTTTTCTGTCATTTGCATTTGAGCATTTGCTTTTGTGCACATGATGCATTTCAAGCAATACCAGCTAATCTCTTGGGAAATTTCTTATCATCTATTGAATTCAATGTGTATCTCAAAATATAATACACAATATGATCATTGCGATCATGCAATAATCACATACATTTTCAGGAAAATAGGAGTGAAAAGTGCCTTACACAATGCTGACAAAAATGAATGCTCACCAGTAAGTGAAGAAAATGGTGATCTGGCAACCTGTAGGGTTTCAGGAATAATGTGGTGTGGAACCTGAGGGTATAGATGCACTGAAGAGTACAGGTTATCCAAGCCAAAGGAGACCTAAGCCATATTAACAGGTAACACAAGGATTGTGTGTGTGCTGTAGACACATTCTGTGCAAGTGAGGATTCACTTTGAGAGATATTGAGTGATTATTTCTTTAAATATGAAAGGTTCATTTTTTCTCCCATCTTAAATGCTGGTGGATGGGGTGGAGATTACACCCAAACCAGGAGATCTCACACCATATGCTTGCATGGCCCTCAGACATATTACATTTGGCACTCCTGGTCAAGAGCCATCAGTGTAAGGTGGTGACAGAGAATTTGCAGCCTACCTTCCGGAAGCAATCCTCTTTTGGTTCCTGGGTCTTGATGGAGCTGGCTGCAAGAACAAAGACCTTCATGAGTCCTCGGTGAACCTTGGGAGGTAGTGTTCCAAGTTCCATCTTCTGATGAGCATGGACCAATCCCCATAACTGCTCTGACTCCATCATCACTCCCGCTCTAGCCAAGCAAGCATCCAAAAAGTCACCACTACATCTATCTTATCACTACCACTCCATGAGGTACAAGAGGCCTGATTCCACTGTGCTTTGAATCCTACCAAATTGAAGCATTAATAGCCAATTGTCAAAGCCTAGGTACCTTTAGTTATAAGACTGAAGTGTACATGTCTCATACAGTGACAGAGAACAGTATATGGCAAAGATTCAGGGAATTTACATCAAGATAACCAATATGTTCAACAATAAAACAAGAGGTTTTGGGACCTTTGTCATTCATTTTAAGTGCTCAGCATGAGAGGAGGGTAAATGCATATCAAGGGCAACATTCCCCTCAGCCATTGAGTATGGGAAGTAGGGTTCTCACTTGTCCTTGCTCTCAGCAAGTGTGAGACAGAGATCCACTGCATCAAGCAAAACCTTCTCTTCTGAGCTCCACCGCTTCACAAGGCTCGACACAGCAGATAGGAGGAACTCAATGGTCCACCGTGCCCCAGAAGAATCCTGACCAAATGCCCCCACAATGTTCATGGCCATCTCAAGGTAGTAGGTTTCAGTGGGCATGAGGTGGGATGAGGCAAAACGGGCCAGGAACCACAGCGTTGACTGGGTGAGCATGGGTGACAAAACTCCTGATAGGCCTGCTTCCAGGCCACGTGCTGTCACTTCCATCACTGCCATTCCAGCACGGAATACCCTATTACAGTTCAATTCAAATTTATCATCAACCATGTTCCTATTTCAAAGTCACTTGCTATGAAAACTGAAGTCAGGGAAATAAATATTCTGAAAAACAACCAGGTCTGCAAATAGTGATTACAGTACCTCAGCCCCATTTATACTGCAAGGAATATCTTTGGAGCTGTAATGATGGAGGTTACAATTAATGCCTGGAGTATGGATGAAGGAGGGGAAAAATGGGATGTAAAAAAGGAAAGGTACCTGAGAAGAAGATCAGGGCTCTGGCCCAGGATTGGGGCCTGTGTGACAGAGAGACCAGGAAAGTCTGGTGGGGGTTCTGCACCAGAAGAACCCTGTTGACTTTGATAAAGTCTTACTCCATACTCCATAATCTCACTGGGGATCATCACCTGTTCCCCTTCATAGTGCAGGGATACCACGTTTCCTTCACCCAGCAAAAAACATACTCAGCTAGAAATTTCATTTACAAGATCAGTGGTGAAGAAAGTTTCCACAAAAAAATTGCTAGCCACAGATGTATAAGACAACCAGAACAGAATAGAGTTCACATAGCATTCTACGAATGCTTCCTCTACTTAGATTACGATCACATAATAATTTCAATGACTTCATCTTCAAGGCACATGGCAATAGAAAGCCATATAAAAACAAGTTAACCATTAAATAAAATTTTTTTTTTTCTGATGTCTCTTTAAGCAGACCATCTGCATCCTCATCACACCAAAAATGAATAAGACACATCCAAGCAATCTGCATGAAGTCATCACTGAGGCCTACCAGCAATTAGGAGAAGCCAATGCAGATCTTCATAGAGAAAGAGGAGATGCTCATCTGTCTGGCCAGAGGAGAGGAGCTGCTGGAGGCGAACAACTCGAGCTTCCAGGAGGCGACAGAGGAGTGGGATGGCCCTGTCAGGAATGTTCCGCCCAAACAGCCCAATGGTGCTCAGCTGATCCTTGAACTTGGTTCGATCATCCTCATCCTCATCAGCAAGTTCATCCTCAGCCTCCTCACGCCTCATACCCCGCATCCCTTCTGGAGGAACCAGGTGGCACTGGACATAGGTCTCAAATACCTGCAAAATATGAAAGATTTAGCAATACTAATAAAGCATCACACTGTATTCCAGAGATGATCAACAAAGGGACAAAACATGATTCAAAATGGGGCAAGGTAAAGCCACAAAATGCATATCTAAGCCTTTTTTTTCTTCAGAAAATAAGTTATATGGTATATTTCATAGCCAACAAGCAGGGTTTTATTATCATACTAGATTCATATTCACTATGCACTTGCTATAGCAGGGTAACAGCTTACCTCAACAAATATAGTAAGAAAAATTACAAGCTCAATGTTTAAATCCATAAAGATTTTCCAATTGAATTGGCAAGGGATGAGAAAGAAATACATTCCCACTTCAAAGTTTAGAGATTGTAGCCATAGAACTGTGAATGTTGCAGACTGCTGTGTAGGAAGAATTTGATTTTTTTAAACATGACAAAAGAGATCATAGCCTAACAGGTTTTTTCACATATGTGATACCTCAATATTTTCTTGAAATATAAATAATTATAAACTGAAATATTGATGAAAATAGTTTATGCATGAAAATGGTCATCACTGGAAAGAATTTTTTTGCTACATAGGCAGATGCTTCATAATAAGTCTCATCATCACAACTCCACAAGCCATAGCAAAGCAAATTGTGATTAAAGACCATTCCAATTTCAAATTAAATCAACAAGGAATGAGATAAAGATTTTTCACATGACATTTATTGCCATCTGAATCTCACAAGAGCAAGAGCAAAAGTCCCAAAACTTTATCTACACTATACTCTCAAAAGTATTTGGATGCCCCTGTGAAAGTAGTGAATGATGTGAGCCAGATGTATGCAAAGAAGGAACAGGCATAAAAGTGTGCAGGAAGGAAAGTGTTCCTTCTTTGCAATGTCTGGCTTGCATCATTCACTACTTTTGCAGGCATGTCCAAATACTTTTAAGAGCATAGTGTATTTTTCACATAATACAAAAATTTACAGAACAAAATTATCATGGGTACATGTTGTCTTCTGTCTTGCTATCCCCTGAAGGTGCTCCTGCATGGGAAACATCTTCAAATTTTTGTTTTATAGAGCTCTGCTTGTGCAATCCTATTCCATGCAAAGCCTGCAAATCCTAAACATCTTAACCTCCCAGAAGAGTACAGATATCATGTAGACATAGAGCAAGAAATATTGTGTGCTGCCTTGTACAGATCCCTTCCATTGAGGTAAAAGACCACATGTTCAAGAAAGGCACTTTCACCATAGAGAGTGTAACTAGAGGTAACACTCTGAGGGGTAGGGGGGTTGAAATATTACAGAGACATCTGATGGCATGTTATCAGCAACACTTTCATGAGGTGCGCTTCATGGCAGTGGAATCAGGAATCAACTCATTTGGGGATTCAACCCAAAGGGATTCCCCAATGTAATACGTGTGTCTTGTTGAGTCTGCTGCCTGGCCATGAAGGAGTTCTTGATATGTGCACACTAGGTGGAAGATCGACAGTAACATCTACATTGCGACCCTGTCAATGAATGGGATTGTGAATGGGTGTTGCCTCTAATTACACTCTCTATGCTTTCACTGTGAATCGCTTTGGCATGAATGAGAAAGTAATCACTGAAACTTGAACTTCAGACAAATCTCCCTGTGACAAAAAGGAATATACAGTCATTTTAAATAATCAAACAGTAAACATTTTATGCAGCCAAATACAGGAAAAATTTTCTATGCTCTCATAATTTTTAACAAATTCTATTTGGTGATATCCATGTAATCAAATGGTTTATAAGAAAAACAGTTCTGATGAAAACTAGTAGAGCCTCAATGTTTAGAAATTGCAAGGTAAAGATGCAATACAAATGTCAGCGTATGGCCAACACTAATTGTATGAAGGTACAGCAGTTTCTTGCAATTGTTCAGGTTTCATTTTAGATTTAGTCAATTCAAGAATTACAAAGGCTCATGCAAACAAAAATAATACACTTGAAAAAGTATTAACCCCATATTGATCTACTTTTCAACAGAATCTTTGAGGATTCTGTTGAAAGATTCTTGGTTTAGTGTGGAACTTTCCAAAACCAAGAGACTTCAGAGATTTTGTATAAAACCCTCTGCAGCATTGGTGCTCCATTTTAGGCATTACAAATTATTTCACTTTGCACAATAATTTGGGTAACATAAATTGCAGTGAAATGAACAGATCTGCATAAATAGAAAAATTCAAGGGACTACAAGATGAAGCATTTCCTTCCAGAAGCATTAATTTGTATGTCATTTGTTCCATGTTGCCCCACTGTTACAACTCAACTCATTTTATGGTATTCCAGATAGGATGAAAGAAGAAAACTATCATAGAATAAAAGTGATAGTCTCTTCAGGTGATCCATACATTTTTCTTAGTAGGATTCTCACCTGGACAATGGAAGGCATCCATTCAGCAGTAGGGAGGGACTGGATGTCTTGCACAAGAATGATCCATGCCTGAAGGACTCGCTCTAGGGCTTCCATAAACATAGGATCTTCTGCTCCATCCTGACCAATGCAAGAAGATCTTCTGGAGTCTTCTCCAAAGAATGAAACAGATGAGATTAAGATGAGCATACCACATCTTCCTTGGTGGCCTGGAGGATGACGCAACAAGTGATCTCTGTGAGGCGCCCACGAAATGTGTTGTGGAGCTCCTTGGGGAGGCTGGCAATGGATGATGAAGGGAAATAGAGAAGCAGACGACGCAACACATTTGTGATCCCCATCGCCTCCAGCCCAGACAATGATGAACTACATCATGAAGTAAAACTCCAATTACAGAAGGTAGGATTTTTCTTCAACATTTCATTAACAAACTATGTTGAAGGCACCTGTCTAATTAAAGCAGGGATGAAAAGGACAGAGGCCAAATCCCCCAGGTAAAGTTCTACCTTATGAAACTTCAGAATAATGATAGAAAGTGCTGGGAGGAGATGGTTCCAAAGGTCACAATCCAATTTTAGAGCAGTCTGAATTCTATTTAAAAATGTGACATTATTGTAACACATTCTTGTTTAGTTGACTCTTGTTACTCAAGACTGCAGGGTATGGAAACTTTTATGAACTAACAATCATGTACATGTTCAAAAGATGAAAACTCAACATGGGACCACTCAGGCAGAGCAATCACTCCTTTCACTGATGTGTCTTGTAGAGTGATTGAGACTGCAATTTTACACTGTTAAATTGCTCCAGGTATAAATATTGGGTGGTACAACAAAAAAAAACTCATTTTGTTTGATGCTTTATAAAACCCATTGTGCAAAATCTAGGGTCAAGATTTTCTCATGTCACATTGGAAACAATACAAAATTTGTTTCCTGAAAGTTTCATGCGTCTAGGATGTCTGAATAAAAAGTAAAAGTCATTCAGAGTGGAGTCATAAAATGTACTTTTTCTGCACATGGTCACTGCACGAATGATTTCTTTCCCTTGCCACCATAAAGGTTGCTTTTATGCCAAGTCCTCATTGTAATATTCTACATAATCTTGATTTCGATACTATGACATACAGCAGTAGTACTATTCTAGGACATGGAACAATATGATGAGGACATTGCATAAAAGCAGCCTTTATGGTATCAAAGGAGAAAATTAATTTTTGCAGTGCTGAAACACCATCTGCCTCATGCATGGGAAAGGTATATTTTATGACTCCACTTTGAATGACTGTCCCTTTGTATTCAGACAACCTAGACACATGAAAATTTCAGAAAACAAATTTTGTAGTGCTTCCAATGTGATATGAAAAAATATCAAACCTGGATGATCCACAGTGGGCTTTAGAAGGCCTCGAAACAATGCTTTTTTTGCACCACCTGGTATAATGACCAATAAATGGTACAGCTCCCAATAGACTAGTTCAAATAAGATATAATCACAGTCAAAGAAGTCATCTCAGAAATTTCGTTTCATATCATGAGCTAATCATCCAAACAGAGACCATTGAAGCCAAAATCAAGAAGAAACATGAGACAGCGCACTGGTCATAAATCTCCATGGCACACCTCATCAAGTATGTGTGATAGAGAAATAAACCCACTGCTAATGCACTTCATTACTTTTAGGGTGAACTTTGATCTTTGTGGCATAGGACATCATAATTAAACTTTTAGATCTTCGCTACTCGCATAATTTTAGCTAATATTTTCAATAAATTTAAATATATGGAGTTAGGTCACCTGCCTCTGAATATAAACAATTTTGGTTGTTGACTGCACATAACTTTTGGGTGCTGAATCAATGTGCAACTGGTTGCTCAAGGGCCATATATTAGCCTATATTATTGTAGTTCTGTGGCAGGGGTATGGGCATCACTGTGGTATCACCTTCCCCTAGTCATGAAATTCCAATTACACTCTAGGATGGGTGAGCCACCATATTCCACCTCCATTCAGCTTGACTATTGCATCAAAATTAAGTTCAAGCATAAGCATGTTGACTATCAAAATCTATTTTGCTTTTCTTTCCTGTGGGCCAAGGTAATCTATTTTAACTTATTTTTTATAAATTGAAGTTCTAGGAATACAATAAACAGGGCCAGTCCATTGAAAACAGCAAAACTTGCAGAAAAATAATATGAATTATGCATCTTCATGACATTGTGTATAAATCTTATGTACACTGGAGTAGGGTTGAAAATTGAATTTGTATCACTGCTTGTGAAAGATTACATGCACTGCAACCTGGTAAAGATGGCTATCTCCAGTGAAAGGGTGTCCAAGGAACAACAAGGGCTGAGATATAGTTTTTGTGAGCAGGATGTGTTAAACCACTTGATATCCATCACAGAATGGTTGCTGTTTATGGTGACACATGTTTGTCCTGGAGATGACTATATGAATAGAGGGAAGTGTTTTGTGGCAGATGTCTCCATGTTGAGAACAAACCCAGACCCTAAGAATCCACAGTTGTCATCACCAAACACATCACAAAGGTAGTAAAGGTGATTAGAGCAAACAGACATGTTTCTAGGTGCCATAGCAACAGAAGTAGGGATTAACTATGAGTGTGCACATAATCTTCCAAGATTTCCTACAGTACCATTTGGTGTGTGCAAAATGTGTACCAGATTGCCTGACCAAAGACAAGAAAAATCTCTGCAAGGGTCTTGCAATCAGCAGTACAACCATGCCGAAAGGTACAGCTTCTTTGGTATGGGATGAAACTAGGTGTTATCATGTTTACTGACACCTTCAGAAGAGGACATTGAGGAGCCAACAGTACCACTTATACAATGACATGGTAGAGGCAGTGAGAACATGGTGCCACCAGATGCCAATGTTATTCCAAGACACTGCAAAAAAAATCCAGCTGAACATAAGACAAGCACCTCAATGTCTGTGGTAAGTATTTTCAATAATCAACATACATAACAAATAGAAATTAATAGCTGTTTTCATTGGACATACCCTAGTTTTTATATGTCCTCAAAATTGTGACCTTTGGGGTATATACAGTCGTCCCTCGCCACTTCGCGCTTCGACTTTCGCGGCTTCACTCTATCGCGGTTTTTTCAAATACCTGTATATTGGGTAAAACGTTTTACCCAATATACAGGTATTTGAAAAAACCGCGATAGAGTGAAGCCACGAAAGTCGAAGCGCGAAGTGGCGAGGGACAACTGTACTTATAACTGCTGGCAAGTCAAATGGGCCAGCAAGTACAACCTGCTAGCATCGTGTATGAGGGGCATTCAAAAAGTATTGCCTCCTTCTCTTGCTTTCTGTATTTATTGACTCTACAGGAAAATGAGATGATTGTTCATGAATAATGGAATGTGGGCTTTAATTAGGCATGATTTTCTCCTTTCCCTGCATATCATATAGTAGGGAAAGAACATATTTAATGGACCTAGTTATATTCACTGAGCTCTGCTACTACAGAGTAGCTGGTGCAGGTGACATGATCATATGAACAGACATGATACTTTGCACTTTCCTTGAATGCATACCGAAGTCTGTTCATAGTGACTTCTTGAACTTGTGTTAGGACTCTGTCCCTGAGATAACTACTAACTGCAGGTAGGCTGCTTGTTCCAGAAAAGGAATGAGGAGCCTGGAAAGTGATAGTACATCAAGACATCCCCCCAATGAGTGATCCCAGGGAACTGTGCTCTCTTCTTGAGGGCATAGTTGAAGAGGATGAATGTCTTGGCAAGCATGAGACAGCTAATAGTGTGGCCATCTCAATGGGGAGTGCTAAGACCATTCACCACCCTAACCTCTGAATGAGAAATATTTGTGTTAGATGAGAGCCCCACATGCTCACAGATGCATAGGAACAGGAACAGGGGGAAGTTTGCAGTGAGAACATAACTCGAGTTGAAAATACAGATTCAAAGCATTGTGCCTAAGTTATTATTGATGATGGAACTTGGATTTAGTTTTTTTAGGTGAGAGAACCAGTTAGGAAGGAAGCGCGCATGGCTGGAAGGGATTCACAACCAGTCCCTCCAAGATGGCAGATGATAAGCAAGTTGCTTCATTACTTTGTTTTTTCATCTCTAAAATGCCTAATAATTTACATTCCAGCTCCAAAAGGGGATACTTGTGGCAGGATGATTCTAGGTTGTATTAATAGTCTGAGAAGTTGAAAAGGTTACCAGGGAGAGATGAGTAAAGTCTGCATAAGGAGGGTTTAAGCTTCTGCCTAGCAATAGTCAAAACGACAGGTTGGAAGATATTTAAATCATTAGTGATGCACATATGTGTGATGATGCATGTCTTCCCCCACTCTATTGATCCGATTTCACCCTAAGCTACTTCTTTTTGTTATCAACTCTAAAGTCTGAGTTGGCAGGGAAACACCCTGAAATTCAGAATAATCTGGAAGATGCAATTTTCCAGTGCTAGAACTACTCACAGATAGGACTATTTAAAATGCAATCATTGCTGGATTTCAAAGAATAAATTATGCATAGAGATAGAGCAGGGGTGTGTTGAATGGGTGGTGTAATGATGACATCTTAATAGTCTCATTCACAAAAAATGAATAAGGTGACAATAATTATTGAATGCCCCTTGTATAGCAGTAAATGTGTTAATATCTGTAACATTATCTTGCACAAGATCCATAATTTCTCCCTTTGATAATCCAAACCCCATGATTTTGACTCTCCTTGTAAGCTTGTAATTATAATCATGGGAAGGAGATGTCATACATCACCATAGAGCACAACCCCATTTTCCATTATGATATAACTGAAAGGGGAGAAATGAGACATTTATCACTATAGCTCAATGACAACATCCTGTGATTTCCCCTGAGACCATCCCATAGGAAACACCCCAGGTCATGCCTGGTCATGAGCAAAATTTTCCTTTTCCTGCATGTGAACTCCACTATGTAGCATTCTGCAATTCCATCATTGGAAAAGTGCAGGGAACCTAGAGAGTATTCATGTTTCTCACGTTGTGATGAGGAAAAACCCATGCAGGAAGTTTGCCAGGTAAGTATGTGCGTCCTCAGGCTCTGCTACCAAGGGACCATTTAGGGATGCCAGCTGCAGGAGGCAGGTGTTCAATTGGTGGGACAGTGCTACATCTCCTTGCACCTTCAGGAATAGCTGGCAGCAAGATAAACCAACCATAACATATTCAGTCAGAAGAGCAAATTCTATTGCAACAGGATGAAAGAGAGACAGGAAAAACCTTGAAGAAGAGCTGGATGGCATCAGGGTTTAAAATGAGATCCTTCCAGGTTACTGGTGGACGGAAAGAGAGATTCTGGTCCGTTTCATAAGTGCTCATCACCTTCTTTGGCAGTGGATCACATTTCATCAAGGATATCTACTGATTGAAATTCTACAATGTATCGCTTTTCTTCCTTTCTTTCTCTTCCAATTGCCTGACCTCTCTCAATAGCGAGCAATGCTTCCAAAATCTTTACCCACAGTATTATACAGAGCAACAACAGTGGCATAATTCTGGCTGCCTTTCATTGGGTCTGATTGCTTCTGCTGATGGGTCTGATTCATTACATTTTTCCAAGCTAAAACTATTTCTTTTAATAAAAATGCAACATTTCCACTTTCTACAAATTGCTCCCTTTTTCTTATTTTTTTTTTGCTTCCATAGTAATAAATGTGGAAAGCAGTTCAACAAAATTGTATACATGGGCAACAATATTCTTTCTCCTTATAAGGGGGGCTTTATTACTTAACCATAAGATACATAAAAATCAACAGGAAGAAAATTTCAGATCGTGTGAAAATAAATATTTTACAAACTATGCAGTTAAGACACTATCTAAAAGAGCAGTCTTCAACCAAGGGCTCTTTCCTTTTATTTGCTTGTCTTGTCAACTCATCTGAAAGTCATCTCAGCATGAACTGAAGCTAAATCTAAAAATAAGTCTAGATTAAATTAATACGTGGCAATCTATTGTTCAGCTCTCCTTCAACCCTTACCTAGGCAAGGTATTTTGTCACATGTTTGATACAAAATGAGCCAAGGCAAAAATTGTAAGCATTTTTTTCATTAAAAGCAAATCACAACTTTAAAAATATGATTTTGGATCTATGGATAACTGCCTACGAAAGGAATGTGAAGAACGGGGTCTTCCGCCCTTTAACAAAAGAAGAGAAGGAGGAAATATACTGTTTACTCCTGAGGTGTCAAAAAGAGAGTTGCAGGAATCTCATCCTTTTCTACTCTAATATTTTCCCCACCTTTCTCTTCCCTTCCTAATGGTCTGTTGTAATGAAATGAAACAATGTTAATTTTTTTTATAACCTTTGAGAAATTGGCTTTCATGTGTTATATTGTTAATCCTAATATTGCATATTGAAGGAAAGTGTTTTGATTCTTTCAAGCTAATTTGATGACTTAATTACTGGCCATATTATAAGGAATTAAGGAAAAATAGATGATTTTGTCTAATACTCAGTATAAAGTAAGAATAATGAAATATTGTCAAAAGGAGGATGGGACAACCCTGTAACCAACTGGGGCAAACACATAAAACCAAATCCATTAAGATAATGAGCAAGTCACAATGTGTGAGGTGTGTGGCCCGAGTTAGAGTAACTTAGAGAGAGAGAACAGTAATATAATTAACCTCCAGATTCCAGTTGAATTTGCCCCAGTTGGATCCTTCTCCCATCCAATATTAAGTAATAACTTAAATTCTTTAACAAGTACTGTGAAGAACTGTGTTTTCCTTTTTTTTTTGATATTTCATTATTGTCCTTATTTTAATAAAGTTAAGTAATTTACTTGGAAAGATCACGAGGGTTTCCATTTCTCCAGAATTTCTGTCTGGCGAACCTGCCTTAACCCTCGAATCTGGAACGGGACAGGTGATCAATTAATATTGATCGCTTGTTACGTCACAGGAACATTACATTTTTAGAAAATTTGGAAATTTCTGTACAACACAATTTGCTGAAACTTTTGAAAAAAGTATTTGCTGAAGGCCCCAATGGACTCCTATTGCCTGGATAAGGGTTAGACACTACTTTTCGATTAGACTCGGTTGTAGATTTATGTTAAGCAAGGTTGAGGAATCTGAAAACGAGAGGAGGATATGGATGTGAGATAAGAATTGAGGAGTGCAAGAAACATGATGGAAAGGATATGTCGGAAGTAGGAGATGAAGGTCCAGGAGAGAACAGAATCAGCAAGGCCAAGGAAGCGAGACAGGAGAACAACTTGTTCTTGTGCAAGTGGGGATCCCAACCTCTCCAGTTCAGACAACACCTCCAATGTGAAGCGATAGACTGTAATCAGGTCTGTCACCTACCAACCAAGAGGGAGATCAAATGCAAGTTCCAAATCTTCTATCATCAAAACAGTCTCTAGGTTTTTTAATACTCTATGCAGATAAAATTAATGACATGGGCATTCTGGTTTTTGCAATCAACTTCACTGGGATCTCAAGGTCACTAGGTAAGGAGAATACTGAAAGTCACATCATCACATCAGCAATAGGATAGAGGGGAACGAGTTTGAACATGTCCTTGGGTTCTGTGGGCTCTGCAAAGAATGCCTTACAATCTCAAAAACTGGATTAGATTGAGTAAAGTCAGTTTAATTCTGGATTTTTCCCCAAATCCTGATAGAGGAGGAGCCATATATAGTTTCTTATCTTCAGCATGATTTGGCAATTAATGAAGTTGCAAGCTGTCCTAAAAGTAGTTTCTTTGCTATAGTACAATTCAGCAATTAATGAAGTGGCAAGTTGCACTGAAAGCAATCAGAAAGACTTCAATCACATAGTCACTGTCAATTGAATTTGAATGAGAACAAAACAGGTAGAAGGACAAAATCTAGAGTGGAAGGGATACAAAACATTAGCTTGCTATACATGTTTAAGTAGATGATGCAAAAATATTGAAAGAATAAAGGAGAACCTGTTTAGTGGATGGCATGCACTACAATTAGAAATTGTTTAAACCTTCCTCAAGGAACACAACTTCTATGAATCTTACCTTCATATAAGGCATAAAAGGTCCTATGCCCATGAAGGAAACAGATTAAGAGCATGGCCTGGAATAATGTGCCTTTCTACCTAAAGTAGCAGAAGCAAGCTGGACATCACTCTAATCTCTCAAAGCAGAACACTGTTAGCTGAATTCATGACAGGGCCTCTTTTTCTCTAGACTATTTTTTTTTTTCATAGGCTTGTGTCCTACCAACCTATACCTGTATTACATTCCTTTCAAAGGTTGAAGTCAATCTAGGCCATGCTGTGGATCTATTTCCTCCATAGGTTTGCATACCGTGCATTTCAGTCACAAGGATAGTCAAGCTAATTGCTTGTAGAACAGTGGCACTGGCAGAAACTTAAGCCAGGATTGCTTCTGCCTTACCTGTTTAAATCTGCAGCTGTAGCACCTGACAATAGCAACAATTCTGGATAGGGTTTGTTGAGTCAGACTTGCAGTCTCATTTCCCAATGACAGGCTGCCTGACAATTTCCTCAGAAAGGATCTTTCACAGTCCTTTCTCCTTTTAACTTTCTGAAGATCTACCTCATACATGCAAGCTATTTTACTATAATTTAGTTTTTAGACTTTGACCTCTGTTCTGTGCTTCTGGGGTCAGAAGCTGAGCTGAGAGTTGGATAGAAACTTAAAACTACACTTGGTACACAAGTAACAGTTGGGATGCTAAGTTGAGAAAAAAATATCACTTTTGAGGTACATACCATAGGGGCACATTTTCCCATAGGAAATTCATAAATATTTGTACCTCAACAGAATGGAGAGACATGGAAAGCTGAAACTTGATATCAGCATACCCATTGAGAGGCTGATTTCAAGTAAAAATCCCTCTTTTCTGATACATCCTCCAGGGGCAACATTTTAAATCTTTTCTTTTTTGCTCCAGTGAACAGGATAGAAATAGGTGAAACTTGGTAAACAAATATAGGGTGGACCAAAAAAAACTTCAGTTATCTTCATCACTCCACAGCACTGGTCCCCAAGAGTTTGCTAAAATTGCAATAGTGACTCCATGTAAAACGAACATTCATTTAGCTTTCAAATGATATTAACAAAATAAGGATTTGTTGCCTAACTACCATGTAGTTATATAGAGTGTAAGAGGTGGCACTGGAAAAGTTGGTGCCATATTGGAAAATCAGCAAGTGCAAGCAAAACTTTGCCTACTCACCATAATTGAAAGGATGAATGTCACCTGAAGCACATCCCATATTGTACTGGTAAGTGCACTTTCCAAGCACTACCTCTGATACACTGTGCCTAACTGCATCAGAATGACACATTGGATCTGAAATCTTTTGACATTAGTGGAAAGCTAGATAAATGTTTCATATACAGATACTATTACAATATTTTTAAACTCTCAAGAAACTACGCTGCGAAATGTTAAAGATGGCCGAAGATTTCTTAGCTCACCCTGTAGTTCTTGGGGTGTCAAGTCTGGGAATAATCCTACTCATGGCACAATTTCACAAAGGGATGCTTTTTTCTAATACATTTTGGTTCCAGTGAAAGAGTTAAACATGCTGAAAGCTTAAATTTGATAAATATGCAGCCTTAAGAACCATTTTAGGGAAATGTTTATTTTTGAGGCTAATGCCCTTGGGGCACTTTTTTTTAGGAGTCTTATTTTCAGAAATTAATTTCACTGCAACAAAACAGAGACACTGAAAGCTAACACTTGGTGTACAAGTAGTTATTGGGTTGGTGAGTTTAGAGAAATCCTACTTTTGAGGTATGTTATCTCAGGGCAAAGATGTATTTGAAAAAAGCATCTCTACAAGAAATTGTATCCTAAGGTGATGCACAACAAAAGTAGGATTTTTCCAAAACTTGACACCCCAAGAGCTATTTGTTGGCCATGTTTCCCCTTTCTATTTATATCCTCTTCACTGAAGCAAAATATTCCTTTCCAAAAAGGTTGCCCCCAGGGGTTGTATCTTAAAAGTAGGGTTGTTCCCGAAATCAGCATCTTAACAGGTACCTTTATACTAAGTTTCAACTCTCCCTGTCTCTCTGGTTTGCTGAAGAGAAAAAATATTAGGCATTGGAATATGTCCTTCCCCCCCCCCCCCACAAAAAAAGCACACCCATGGCATTTACCTCCAAAGTGGGATTTTCTTTATTAAGTCAGCTATTTGTATACCAAGTTTCATCCCTCTGCCATGCCTAGAACAGGGTTAGAATTAGTGCCAATCATTGACTCTTTCACAATCACCTAAGCACATGGTTCTTATAAAGTTAGTTGACCTAATGAAATGTCCATAAGTCAAAAACTATACACTGCAGGCCAGCCAAAATCAGAGGATATGCTAATACAACAATGGGGAAGGCAATTCCAGTGCTTACAAAAAATGCCACCACGGGGTGCTGTGATGCCCACTTTGCATATGGGTAGAGTATAAAACAGGAACAAACTAACCAGCATTTATTCTTCCTTCAGAAATGGTATCAGACCATCTCTGAACATAAGGATTGCTCTTTTCAAACATTACTACAGCAATAGCAACAACACAGGTGCAGCATAATGATCATATTGGCATGAAAGCAAGGAACAAACTGGGCCATGCAGTTACAAGGCTTATCAAAAGCTGAAATATATATATAAAAAACAGGATTAGTTGCTGATACACCTCATAGTAGTCGTCCCACAACACCTGTAGAGGTTGTAGTACAAGTCAGTCATGTGGCACATGCAGAATATTGCAGAAGAAAATCTTCATGCTGACTGCAGCAAAAATCAAGTTGTTAAGCACACCAGACTTTCACTATTAACAGCTTAGATGATCATGAGTAAGACACTGAAGCTATTCCCCTATAGAGTCTAAATCACCCACCAACTCACACCATGAGCTACACAAGAATGACTAAACTTGGCACTCCAATTCCTGGCTCAAGCAGAATTCAAGGAGACTTGGCTGGACAACATCCTATGGACTGATAAGGCCCATTTTACTCCCCATGATCAAGTCTATACCCATAAGAGAAATCAATCCACATGCCTCTGTGGAATGGCCATTGAATGATGAAAAGGCTATAGTGTGGGCTGAATTTATGAGTGCCTTCATCATTGGGCCACATTTCTTTGAGGAACCAACAAATAATGGATTTTGCACAGTGAAAGTTAACAGTGATTGGCACTGAAACATTAGAAAATGTTGCCATTCCCACACTTCAACAGAGAGGAGTTTTGACTGAAACAGTGTTCATGCAAGATGGTGTTCCACCTCACATTACACAGAGTGCAAAAACATTGTCACGACAGGCTTTTGGTAATCAGGTAATTAGCAGACACTTTCCAAGCACATGGCCAGGATGGTTGCCAGACCATTTTCTACTGCCCTACTATTTTCTGGCTATGGGGCTACCTCAAGTCCATAGTGAACTGTGATCATCCAGTGACCATGACAGATCTCAAAGATAGCATGCAACACATGCTTTAGATAAATATCTGACAGTTAATGAAGCATTGATGTAATTCTCTAGTCTTTCACACTCTGCTATAATGATGCTAGACTATATCAAGCAAAACAGTATTTAAATCCAAGTGAATGCCCAAGCCTTGGGCCACATCATAAATTAAAAGGCTTGTTATGGGAAAATTATTTTGGTTTCCAAATTGTGCAGAAAGTGCTTCAAGGCTGAACAAATCATCATTATACCCCTAAGACTTGAGATGACTGAATTCACCTCAAACTGCTTCTTTGCCTCAAAGTGGGATTCCCAGGGCAGGCCAACATCAGATGACTTTAGCGTAATGGCATATTCCTGGAGGAGGCAGTTCATGAGGGCACATCCCAACATCCTCTACAAATGACCATGAAATAAAAAATGTCAGCAGAAACCTTCCTCTTATTTATTTATTTTTTCAAAGGAAACAGGTTCTTACCATGGAGTTATTGCCTTCAGAAACAAGCTGAAGGACCTGGTTGAGAAGGGCTGTCCGCTGTGCCCCACCATCATCAATACTCTCCCGTTTCACCATCACCGCCACCACCTGAGTCACAGCCAATTCTCAGCAATCATGAATGAGCAAGAATGATTTGCCTGGCAGTCCTGATGAATCTCAAGAAAATCAAAACTAGAAAGCTTCTAAGCAGGTGCTTCATCAGGAAATTTTCTTTTAAGGGGCTCAAAGTTTTGGGATAGGAATGTCCCCTTCATCCCATCATCATGAGTAAGTAGTTTAGATCTAGACAGGAAAAAAGTAATCAAAATACAAGGTATAAATACTGTCCAAGATCCAAGAAACAAGGAGAAAAAGTGAAAATGAAAGAGCTCTAAGTATCAGGTACTTCAAAGTCATCAGCATTCCTTGTCTAAGAGGATAGCGAAATGCATACTTTCTAATATGGAAAATTTGACATTTCCATTCCAATATTGATATACTAAGGCATTCTCTGGTCCCATGAGTTAAAAAAACTCCAAGAAGCAAGTTTGTTTACTTTGAAGGGCATTACCCCCTACCACCAACAGATGACATACTGTTCCAAACCTCTGATTCCAATTGGCTGCAAGGCCAGCTAATTGCCTTCTTGGAAACTTCCCTTTGTCATTCAGAAGAATTCTAAACATAGACTAACACCCCCTTTCACTAACCTCTTTTCACCAATGTCACATGACCTACAGTCAAAACCCTTGCTTAGTCACTGTAAAGTCTGCTATTTACCCTCAGTGTTATGAGTGCAAGGCATGGGTGAATGTGCCATGGTGAACAAGAGAGAGAGTGCAACAAAATTGGGTGATTCAGACCTGTTAAATTTGGTCCCCAGAATTTAGAATTGAGGTTTTCCTGCACTTGCTTTTAAACCACCCTATAAATTCTTTCTTTCTTTCTTTTCATTTGATTTTATCTTTTTCCCCATCTTACCTTTTCATAAAACACCAGTTCAGGATTTTCTTAGTTTCATTGCCTGTACTTTCATTACTCTGTACTTCTCCATCTGTGTCCCTGTAGATCTTGGTTTTAAGGGAAGCATTGGTTCAGTGTGCTTTTCATCATATCTTCCAAATCTCATGAGTTTCATTCACAGATTCATGTATATAAAACATGGAGAAGCAGATGCATCTGGGAACATTTTCATAATAACTTTCTTACCTGTTTTCATACAAGTGAGAGAAGAATTACAATGATAAATTCCTTGTAGCAGCTAAGTCCATGAATTGCTCATGGGGACTCACATGGAGGATGCGGTCACGAAGGAAAGTTGGGAGCTGTGGTCTTTGCAGGACATACTGCATGAGGCACTCCTTGAGTGATACCTTGTCTGCCTCTGGGAGATGCTTCCAGTCCCGAGTCACAGAGTTCCGGATCACTAATGCTGTCTCAAACAGCACATAATGGGATGTGCTCCGCTCTGCCATGGCACCCAAACAGTAGCATATAAGTCATGTTCTGTTGAAATGTGCCTGGACACTAAGAAAGCTAGCCATGGCTTATTTCAATCATGCAGTAGTTACTCATGAAAGTGAAATAAACAATAAATGCACACTTCATCTCTAAAAATGCAATTCCAAACTCACCAAAGATAGCAAAGCACAGGGCAAAAGGGTTTTGGGCTTTGCGAAACTGAAGGAAGACTCTCTCAGCCTCATGACGCTGCTCACTTGTGACCGCTCCTGGAGGCGCCTGTTTGGAAGCATACATAGCTGAAATACATACTGTACTAGGTAGAGCAAAAAAGAAAGACCAACAACTTTCAACTTAAATGTCTCTGCTCACAACAGAACTATTTCTGTGAAATTTCACTTGGCATGCACGACTACATTTCCAACTGATACTTAAAGCTTTGCTCAAATTAGTTGCAACAAAGCTATACTATCAGCAATTATTGAAAGGAAGTTAGATGCTGAGAATGGACAAGAGCTGGTAGTAGAGTGGATGAAACACTCCATGCTGTCCTTCCCGGTCATCAAGGCCAAGAGAAGCTCTTCTTCCATCAGAATTCATAGGGCTGGTTGTCTCTTGCAGATGATTTTCATGAGCTTATTTTCAATGAATAGCAGATGAATCAATTCATATCAACACAGAGAGTTTTCTCAGTTCTTTCAGAATTTCCTTCCTTTTTTTTTCCTTCTTTTTTTTTTTAAGGAACTGTCAGTTTCAAATGTCTGACTACTTACAAACATATCATTCATAACTTTGATCTGAATTAATAGAATTTGCAGCCCTGTAAACTTTCAAACAAATGAGAACATGTTACATCCTTCAGCAAATTTGGTGAGATATGACTTAAGCAAACATGAGATACACTCAAAGTTGTTGGTCTTTTTTTGTCATACCTAGCAGACTCAGGCTAACATAAAAACAAAGGGAAATTCTAAAAGAACATTGAGAAAACTTTCTGGATTGATTCATCTGCTATTCATTGGGAGTAAGCTCATGATAACCACCTGCAAGAGACAACCAATGCAAAGAATTGGAATGGAAGAGGTGTCTGGATAGTCTGGAAAACCAGGAGGGGCAGTGCTTGAGTGTTTCTTCCATTCCACTACCAGCAGGAACTCTTTGTCTATTCTCAATGTCTAAATTCTTTTCAATAGCATTGAAAGTTGATAGTATTGCTTTGGTTCAACAAATTTTGATGACATTTTGTAAATCAGTTGGAAACATACTCACATATTCAAAGTGAAAGTTTCACAAAAATAGCTTCAGTGTGAGTGAAGATATTTAGGTCAAAAGTCATTGATCTTTTTTTTCTTTCTATATCCTGTATACACAGGGTGGGCCAAAAAAAAAAACAAAGCTGTCATCTTTGGTGAGTCGTCAATCTCATTGTAGGCTGCTGATTCTAATTATATTTGGTAGGCTTAAAGGGTGACTCAATTGGAGATTTTATGCTGAATTTCAGCCCTCTGACTTTAAAATTATAGGAGCTGCAATAATTTTTATGACTCATAACAAAATGTGCAGTCTAAAATATTGATATGAATTTAAGGCCAGGATGAATGGGAGGATAAAATTAATGACCTTCCAGCCTTGCATGATACAATAGAGGAAGATTGGGAAGCACTGCCTCAAAGATTTATTAATCAAGTCATTGATCTGTGGCATCCCAGACTAAAGGCTCGTGTTCAACAGAACAACAGAATGGAGGGCATGGACCTTTTGAGTTGAAATGAACTCACCTAAACTAAATTGTGTGCTTTCATTTTTGACATTTGTGCATTTTATTTTTTTTTCTGGTTTTTTGTTTTGTCAGCTGTAAGAAATTGTAAGTTTAAAGAAAAAAGGAACACTTACTTTTTTGGTGAGGAAAAGTAAATTAAATGCCATTCTCACAGTTTTTGTAATTTTGATTTGAAACTCAGCAAACAAACCCCAGTTGAGTCACCCTAAGTGCCTACCAAATTTCATCAGAATTGGCAGCCAGATTGACAGCTCACCAAAAATGATAGCTTTGTTTTTTTTTAACCACCCTGTATACGTGGGTTGTCTGAAAAGTTCTCTGTATTGATTTTTAAAATGAGTTACACTCGATGAATCTTTATTAAATTTTGGTGAGCACTTGCTATATCTAATAGCATTCACTGTGCAAAGTTTTGTATAAATTCATCCAGATTTACACTTGCTGCCAGATATTACATACAGTCACTATGGACACCTCCATCATCCAAGAATTATTCTCGAAACATTGCATTCGAGTGCTCAAGTTCCTGTTTTGCTCAACGACACACAGACAGAAATCCATCAACTGACGTTGATAGCTTTGGGCCAACACTGTCCAGCTGACGAGACAATCCGGAAGTGGTCAAAGCTCTTCCTGGAGGGAAAGACAGACCTTGAAGATGAGCCATGAAGTGGGCCAGAGGAAGACCAGAGGAAGAAGACCTACTTTGCTGCAACCTTCTTCTTTCCCAGCTCTTCAATGACAATGCAATGAGCGGTATTGGGTGAGACTCATAAGCTTTTGGTCTGGTGGTGATTTGGCGGTCTTCTCAGTGGTCGGTGACTTGCTGGACTTTTTGCTGGTGTTGAAGCAGAAACTGGTCACCCACTCCGTGGCTCATCTTCAAGGTCCGTCTTCCCCTACAGGAAGAACTTTGACCACTTCTGGATCGCCTCGTAAACTGGACAGTGTTGGCCGAAAGCCATTGAGATCAGTTGATGGATCTCTGTTGGTGTGCTGTTGAGCAGAACATGGAACTTGATGATGACTCAAATGTGATGTTTCAAGAATGATTCTTGGACGATGGAGACGTTCATAGTGACTGTATGCAATATCCAGCAGTGAGTGTAAATCTGGATACATTTATACAAAACTTCGCACAATGAATATCATTAGACATAACCAGTGCTCACCAAAATTTAATACAGATTCATCTAGTGTAACTCATTTTAAAAATCAATACAGAGAACTTTTCAGACAACCCTTGTATATGTATATTCTTTTCAGAAAAGAGAGTTTTTGACGTAGTCATAGGGGTATGCAAGGGAAATACAGCAACCATACATGCAAGGATTGAGCAGCTGCCTCTAATTCCTTGATGAAGGAGTCATCCAACACCACAGCCATGGTAACTTATTCTGTGGTCTTTTTTTTCAAGGATTTTTCATCATAACTACAAAAACCTCACATAAAGAAAATAGCACAAACTCTCAGTAAAAACCATTACTGCTGTAATGGTTTCAAAACAACTCTGAAAAAAGACAAAAATTGTGGTTCATTGAAGGGCAAAACTCTGATCTGAAAGAGCCAATATTGGAGGATATTGTCAAGAATCTCTCCTAAATTGACATATGACAAAGGGCATACTCTTGCAAGCAGCCTGGAGATCATTGTGTTCCCTCACATGAGAATTTTTCCCAATACACATTGCAGAGAAGTGGAAAACTGCCAAAGGAGAGCTCTCCAACAAATCTTCACTCTTTAAGACAGAATCAATAGTATCGGGAAAGCCTGAAAGCTCTTCCTGATACTCATCCCCATATCATGTTTCATCATCCAATTCAAGGTCATCCAGGTCTTCAAACAGGGATTCATCCACCTTCACATCTCCATCACCTGACAGAATGAATTGATTAAGACTCATTTCATGAAGCAGAATGTGAACCATTTTTGACAGGTCCAAGATTATATCATCACCTTCTTCCAAGAACTTGAGGTCAGACTCATTCAAGCTCTTGTTGGCCAGAAACAACTGCTTCCCGGTGAGCTTCTTGGAGGATGGATCATCCTTGATCTGCTTTTTGAGAGCATACATTTCAGCGTCAAATTGTTCCTTCCAAGCCAAGAATGTCTCCACTGTGACCTTGGTACCCTCAAATCGCCTCAATTCAGACTCCTCCTTCTCCCTCACCTTCCTGTCCCGCTCTTCCTCCATTTCTTTCTGCTTGCGGTCACAGGTTGCTCCCAGCCACTCAAGGGATGCCGAGACTAGGGTGAAAATCATCACCATGCCCAGGCTCTCCTCAGCCTATAAAGAACAGCACTCAACTCAACAAGTTCTCCTTGGTCCAAGAACAAAATATCATTCAAACGTGAAGATATACATGAGGGTCAGGCAGCACAAGGGGAATGGACCTGATTAGTGAATAAGTCAAGGAGTGGTAATCAAACTCCAGGCCAACAATCACACAGAAGAGCATTCTTCATGCTGGTCAGCTTACCTCCTATTCTCAGGAGTCACCTGATAATATTCATGCAATTCCTATCATCTTCTATCTCAAACATTTGTTGGATAGCCCAAAACACTATATACTTGATTCTGATAAATAGTGAATAGCTATTGAACCAGTACACAAATGACTTTGCATTTCATTAGTACTTATTCTGCCTACCACAGTTCATAACACAAATTCAAAAAATTGATCAAATCCAGAATTGAGTATATCAGCAAAATAAGATTGGATTCACATTGTCACCCTGACTTCAATTGGCATCCAAAAATTTGGATTTCTCCAGCTTTTACATTGATTTTTGGGCATGGATTTAGCCCGAAATATGCAGCTGTGGAATCAAAAGGAAGAATAGCTGATTTTAAACCCTGTTGTCAATGAAGGGGTTCAAAGTTGTTTGATTTTCTCTATTTTGATGGAATGAAGAAATCTATGGTCTTGTTGGTTTTTTTCTGGAAGGGACCAGTATTTGAGATCAGACCAGGGAATGGTAGCCATATGAAGGCATAAGCCATCTCACTCAAGCTTGTTTATTGTAATAAACAGCTTTAAGAGAAAGCATCAAGGTTAAACTCATAAAACACCTGTAATATTAATTATAGCACAATCAGATGAGCCAATGAGATTTCAGATCAATTCAGAAAACTGTTCAGGATGTTCAGGGTGGGCTATGAGATATAGGTCTAGCCAGGAAGAGTGATGTCAAAATAAGTATGTATCCTGACTCAGCAGTCATGAAAGTTGTTTTAAAAACATCAATACATTGACCAGAACCATTGGCAATGCATTAGTAAATTATTTCCCACCTCTGACCACAGTGGAGGAGGGAGATTTGCCAGCCAATTCTGCCATAGGTTGCAATCAAGTGAAGGGGGGGAGGGGCTCCTTCCATAATCTCTTATCACAAAAAGGGGAGCCTGCCTCCCATTGCTTCCAGCCATTTTCAATAGGGGGGGGGGACAGGATGCCAAGCAAGAGGGAGCTCCAAGACCATCATTATGGCTGATAAAAACCATCAATGTTTTTCACTATTGATAGTGTCATGAATACATCATTGAATTTTGGCAGCCTTAATCCTAACTAATTACTTGCCCCAGAGCATGGAGTTATGGACTTGGGTTCTTTTGAATTGCTTCCAACCCAAAGCAGAGGTTATCAGACTTCAGACTAGATCACCAGCTACTCTAATGATAATTTAAATCACCTTGGATAATGACCTCTAAGGCTGAAAAATATAGAAATGGTATCCAAAGTGGTGTTGAGATAGTTGGAGAAGTGGTATGAAAAAGAGCCCAAGACTTTTGATTTCAAAGGAAGAGTGATCTAGATCCAGAGGCTAATTCATAATTCAATTCATCCAGAGCAGGAACTAGGATGGCATCCAAGTAATAAAGTAAACCTGATCCAGAGCTCAAACCATTAACTCCTTCCACCAATTAAGCTTAAATATAAACCATACCTAGACCTGGATAAACAGACATAGAAGACTGGCTTAACATATGCCTAACTGTTGACACATGACAAGGCAGGCATGGTGAAACAGGGAGGAGGGGAGGGGGGTTGCATAGTCACTTATCATATCATGAGGTCTGCACTCCTAAGACTAAGCTACCTCATCTAAGGATTACATGATTAGGCTATAAGCACTCACTTACACTATTCACCCATGTCACACCTATTTCTCTTGGTAGTAAACCTAGGCCTACTTTGGGCATAAAAGCTCACTATCTGCTGGAGATGTTGCAGTAGAAGGTCTTCCTCTCCCATTGGAAGTCCTTCAAGGGAAATGACTTCAATGTTAGGCACTTCATCTGGATACTTCTCCGTGTAACCAAACTTGAGAGAGCATTGGTACATGAATCCTCCCTCTCCATCATCATCTCCCTTCAGTGACACTATAAACTCACTATATGGGTCAGATGAAAGCACTGAAACCACAAAAAGAATTAAGTTTAGACTGTGATGGAATAGATGGGTCCTGCCACACTCTTGAAACTCATGCTATTCAGGTGTACTTCTTAATGAAAAGATGATTCACTTAGGAGAATGTATATTATCTAGGTATCTACAATGTCCAGCTGCATGAATCTTCAGGCTTTTATCATACTGAAGCAGCAGCATATATAGCAACTGCTTGGAATGAACATCTTCCAAAGAAAATATCACATGGGTGGTTCCTTTTCAAAGCTTTCAAGCATAATTTTTATGGAATTTCTTTCTTTCTGGAATTATGACCTCTAGATATCAGTTCTCCAACATACTGTAGAGCTTATTAGGGCAGGTGCATATGTATAATTTTCATTGATTAACAATGTAATTTTTGTTGAGAAAGATCCATGGTACTAAAATTTGAATGAAGAGGTACACCTGGCAAACCTGCCAAATGAAGAAAATTTCTCTCCTGGCAGGTTACCAGGAAATGAAAAGCAGGAGAAAGATGAAGGGAGATGTGTAGAAAGCATAGTATACAGTGAAATTTGGCCTTTACTACAGGACATTCCTGTGCTACTGATGGCATTACAGTGGATATTGCAAATGAAACCAACACGAATGCTATGAAGTATATTGTCTTCCCAGTAGTACATATCTTGAGAAAGCTCAATGAATGGCATGTAGCAGCATTCCAAGAGAGAAGTGCAAGTTTGAATTAATCAGAACAAACCACAGGCAACGATTGATAGGAAAAATACCACTCAACTCAAATCAGGTGGTTACTTATAAAATGGATGTCTCCCTGCATACATGTTTATAAACAGGAAAAACTGGCCAAGGCATACTATTAGCACTGCAAGAAACAAGAAGTAACAAGTATTCAGGCCTTTGATGAAACTAGGCACATGACACATCATGGCAAAATCTGCCTGCATCACACTGTTCTGGAACAATGCTTAGGAATATTGCCTCAGTGGAGAGATTCTTCTCTGCACTCTCTAATTGAAGCAACTTTTCATTCCATATGACTTTTCATTATTATATATATTAAAGGTCATTCATGTGCCTCAGTAGAATATATATTAAGACGCTGATCACCATTAAGTCACACCTTTCAATACAGGAGGTCTTATCTTAAAAGTGCAAATATTTTTATGGCATCCAAAATGGGTTCCATGCCATGCTACAAATTTGTCAATTAAAGTCCAGTTCACCACATGAAAGACATGTTTGCAAAGTTGAAACAATTATTAGCAAGATATTAAATAGATCTCAGCAAGATTTCCCAAAAAGAATAAAACAAATTTAGGCAGGATACAATCGTCAGAATCATCCAATTTTGACTGGAGCCCATCAGTTTCAGTAAAAAAAAAGTCTGGATTAATGAATTAAAGTCAAGGTTATCCATGTGCTTCAGCTTGTCACATTTTACCTTATTCAATAAAACTAGTCTTGCATTTTTTTTAGTCTAGTTTATTATGTCTTTCATCTTAGGGTCTTCACAAGTATGTCAGAATCAGTAGTCCAACTCTAATCACTGAGTAAAAAATCGTGCAGCTCGACCTTCTGACTTCGGTCTTGACACGAATATGCGTGGATTTGACAAGTTTGCACAAAATTCAGTAGGCTACCGCGAAACGCAAAGCCAAGGCAGGCCTAGCGATAAGCTTCTGCCACACTACCCACCTTGCAATTCGTCGGGGTAAATGGATTCAAGAGCTTCAATCTCATTCCGCTGTTCTTCCCTGTAATCCGTCATGTTAGCCCTTGTGGCATTGTTACTTTATCGCAAATCTTATGTCCTCTTGGCAGGAGACACCTCTGAGACAGTCTTTCTATCAAACTGGTAGATCTACCACGTTCCTGATGATGACTGCACGGCTCCGGTCCAAGCCCCGCGTGGCCCATTCACTACCTTGTGCGCCGCCATGGACCCCACTTGAGGAGTCGCCATCTAGGAGTGCTTTCGGGAACGACTCCTTTTTTTACCCTAGCAAAAGCGTACGGGAAAAGTCCCTATTCCAGAATGATTCCAAAGATGGCCTTACTGACTAGCTCTACGTCAGTGATGAATAATGACATCGTCGTTCGTAGTCGAATGCACCGCTTTGCCTCCTGGTGGAACTGAAGAGCGCTGAGTTACTCTGCTTCCGGATTGAATTCGCAACCCCCTCTGGGTAGTTGAGTAAGGAAAGCACTACTTTCCTCTTCATCAGATGATCCACTCATGAAACCACCCATTTGGACTGCTACTACCTGCAATCAACAGAAGCGCTCCTATGGGGGGCACGAATTCCATCCTGAAACATTGAATGACTGTAGCTGTTTCTGTGTTTCTTCACATGTTAAGGTCTTGCTTTTGGGGTTTCCGAACATTAATTTCACGTTCTTCGGAGAGGATCAAGAAGGAATGCATGAAAGCACATCATGTAGAGACTCGAAGCCCTCCATCGTTTTTCATAACCATTTACAATTCCTGTTTCGCCCCAGCAGAACAAGGACGTAATGTTACCTTTCAGCGAAACAGCTGGTTTAGCTGATAGCGTGTTCCACTCGTACTGGTGCAGTAAAATTGCAAGTGCAAGTGCAAGACGGTATAAAGGGGATATACCATTATACCATAGTCAGGGCCGGATTAAGGGGGGGGGGGGGGCAAAGGGGGCAGTTGCCCCGGGCCCCACTCTTCCAGGGGGCCCCCGAAAGGAAATTAAAAACGTTAAGTTAAAAAAAAGGTATTGTCCCGAAAGGAAATTAAAAACGTTAAGTTCAAAAAAAGGTATTGTATTTGCGTAAAGTAGCTGGGGGGGGGGGGGAGCCCCAAGAATTCACTTGCCCCGGGCCTCGTAACTTCTTAATCCGGCCCTGACCATAGTCCAAGAAGAACCTAAGGAATAGCATAGATGAGATTGACTACTTGTAACCACATATTGGTCTGCTGTGATTACGACAAAGAGGTCATAATCCTTTCCCTATAAATGTGACCCTTGCAGCCTGATGTCGATAACACTCTTACAGCCAAATTATTCCAATTTGTATGTTAGTCTAGGCTACTCCCCAGGTAACACGCACACATAATGACAACATGTGGAAATGTACCACAACATATGGAATGTTGTGCCAATGTAATCGAAAACATTAGTACAACATCTAATTGTACTTTTTTTCAATGTCGTCACAATATTTTCCTCAATGTTGTGACAACTTATCCCTTCTGACGTAACAACATTGTGACGACAATAAGTGAGAAGGGATTATTTTGGCAGTATGGTTTGTATTTAAGAATACTCTCACATCCTTCCAATAATACTTGCAACTGCCAGCCGTGTTAATGCTGTCAAGTGTACGTCCGCATGCCGAGTACTTACTTGAAGCGACGCTACCCAGCTTGAAATCCCGGCTGGAAACAGCTACAATTTCCAGCTGGATCCCAGCTGGAATTTCGGACCCATTCCATCTGGGTAGCAGCTGGAAAGTAGTCAGATTCAGATTGGTTCCTAATTGCAATATCAATAGCTAAATGAGAATCTTTTTGTTGGATTTTTTTTCGAAAGTTCATCAACAAAAACAGCTGAATTTCAGTTTTCAGTTTCCGAATTTACAGATTTAGTCCAGCTGGAATATTCCAGTTGGGATTTTAAACTGGGTAATAGGATTAAGTACCTCACAAATAATCCCTTCTTTCGCAGAAGAAATAAAGAAGCAATCTTCTAATAAGATATTTGCTCCTTTACCTCCTCTAGATATATCAGAGCTTAAAATACAATTAGTTTTTTTTTAATATAAAGTTAGGAGCTAAAGGTATGGTGGGCACCGCTGTCATGAGGTGGACCGACACATGACTCTCGCCCATCATTGTGAGATCCTCCCATGAGGGCTGGCAGAGAGCAAGACCCTCATGAAGTTAATGACTTAGCCCTGAGAAGGTGACTCATGGCTATGGGAGAGAAGTCAGTCTGAGAGAGAGCTGCTTTCCCTCCCCCCACCCCCAGGATCTCTCCCTTAAGGTTTGTTATCTTTAGGAGTTTGACTAAAGAGTAAGGAACTATGCGGTCTCATTGAGAAAGCAACCTGAACTTATTTAGGTTAGTATCAGTGTTTTGGGGCACTTAGTGTTTAGGTCCACCCGAGCCGAAGAGGAGTGAGACCTATTGGGTCCTAGCCATTTTACTCCATGAGGCAGTGAGGTGTGATTTTATTTAAGTCGATATTATATTTACATCCTATCGGAAGGGTTAAGGACAGATGCCCCGAAGATCGAAAGGCGTTTGCAGATCCATCTGGCCGGAAGGGCTTTTATCAGGTGAAGACAATTAATGCTAAGAAGTGAATTAGGAAATATTGCCAGGTTCCTTTCGACCCGAAGGCAAGAAGTACCTAGGGTTTCCTCCAGCCGTGTAACTCACTTAAACGGATCTTTCCAGGAATTCCAAAACTTTTTCCTGATTTTTACATGGGGAAAGACCGAGTACCGAAATCAAAATATCGGGAACTCATTTCTGGTACATGAAAGGAATATATATGCTATAGCGGCGCTGAGATGAAGAAAGGTTCATCCAATCGCCGCCAGATGGCGGCGATAGGATGAACCTTTTAGATGGTGAAGGTATTACTTCGTAAATATTGTCAAAACGTTGTTTACGTCAGAGAGAATTAGTTTTCACAACGTTGTTGTGAAAATGTTGCGACAGCATAGTATAAAAGGACATTCAAATGTTACAGAAATGTTTTCTACAGGGTGTTCGAAAAGTCACTGTGCAGTAGAATTCACGACATGACGTAGAAGGCCTCACTGTAGCTAGGAATTACAGGCAATAAATTATGTGAATCGGTGATGGTGCTAATATTTGATGAAGTATGGAGTGGAAATTCATGTCTTTGATGATGCAATACATGTGATACGCAGTACAATACTAAATACATGCAACAAAATAAATGAATTCTACTGCACAGTGACTTTTCGAACACCCTGTACAATGCAGCCACAACATTCCATATGTGGTCGTAATTAAAAAATATTCAGAAGGCCCCTAAAATATTACAGCTTCTTTGCAATTATTTCTTGCGAATTTATAAGCTTTTTTTTCTGTGACATTTAGTCATTTGGCTAATGTTGTGGCGAAGATATCGTAACAGCATTGTCAAAACATCAAGGTGACAGCATATTACATCCACACATTATTGCTTGTATACAACGTTGTTACAGCGTCAGTGTGTTACCTGGGTCGAGTCGCCTTCGGCAAAAAGAGTGTTAAGCCAGATTGAATATTAGGGCCGAAAACATCGAAACTTATCATCTATTTTCCCCTAAATATGTTATCATCTAGATTCTAGAAGAAGCCGTCGTGGTTTGGTGATTCCGTGTCATAAGGTTGCCAGGGAACCAGTTCATTAAAAAAAAAATTCCTGTCGTTCCACATCTGTCGCACACAGTACTGCAGGGAGGTCATTTTATGCGTTTAATAGACTCCCGACGAACAGGATGGGTGTGATGACCTGGAGAGAAGACTCACGTTCGAGATGAGAAGATAGCGGGTTCCGTTATTCCCAATTAGAGATTGAGAACTTGTTTGTCTTCACGATTTGATTCCTGTTTCTCGCCTGGGACGGGTTCATTGTCTTCAGTGGGATTCCTCAAGTTTTTCATCGGTAACTTCTTTTCTACCTAATATAGGTCTAGATTCTCGTCTCCTCTGTTTTGTTCCACCCCAACATTGCTTCACGCCGTTTTCTAAAAGTGCGCTTGAGAGATGACCCTATAGATTCGTCTCAGACATGCTCTGAATGAGACGGACCGAAACCGACGGAATGATGAAATCACTCATCATCTCCTGAAGAATCTAGATTATTTTAATTGTAGAAATCGTAACCAAATGAGCGATAGCAGCCTAAACGTCTCTCTGAAGTGCGGGATATATCTATCTTCATCTTGTGCAGTCCCTCTAGTATGTTTATTTCATGTTTTCTGTAGACTAGGAAAGTCCTTACGGCAACTTGATATGTCAGGAAGATAGAATTCGCTGTAGCTTTTTTAAATGGATAATATCCTTCGAGAATCTGTCCCATGAGGGGGAGATCTCGAATTTTCACTTCGTTTCTTATCCAAATAACAAGGGTATCGAATGTTTTCATTAACTTTGAAAGAGAAGGGGGGGCGGGGGGAAAGAGATGGGCAGAATTTAAAAGAAAAAAAAGCTGCACGTGGAGAGACTGAAATGAGATTTGTCAAGGGATAGGACGTTTCCCATTTCTTTTCTGATTTCAGTTTGCTGGAAGATGTCAGGGCGTTTAGAATGGATCTTCTTCGTTCCTCTCCTTCTCTTCAATCCAGGAACTTCCATCCCGATCCACAACATCACTCCTTATGACCAATTCCAGGTACAAAAATATATCATTTATCTAGATGTTCGAAACGCTTTAGTCCAAAACAAAGTAAAAATCATACGGGATCACGCCCCCAAAAGCAAGTAGACAAGAGTTGTGGTCTTAAGAATCGCCTGAGAAGATATAAGAAGCTCAAAAAATATATCGAGAATATCATGAGAAGCAGTTCTCTCTCTAATTTAAAATTTGCCTTATGCCCCGATGAGTTGAGTTTGTAGTACTTCAAGACTGCTTATTCATTTTGACATCGTGATCAGTTAATTTAAAAAGTATTGGCATGAGCTCGAACGTAAGGTATGAGTGGGAATTCATTAGGGGTGTCACAACAAAGTATCTTTCCTGAGAGAAAGGCAACTTTCTTTTGTTGAAAACTGAGCGAGAGTCGACCGATTCTAAAGTGAGATCTTTAGAGACGAAGTTGGTACTAGGAAAAAGTTTGTGGCATTTGCGAACCACCTCTTGCGGCTTAATCGAAGAATCCATAATGCTATCACTGGAATGCGATTCGAAACTTTCCTGCTGGCGCTTGCGATTCTGCATTGCGCTGCTGGTTGTTGTGCTTTTAGTAACATGTCGAAGTAATACGAGGGGCGATCCAAAAGTTTCTGCCCTAAGATAATAGGAATGATCGGAGAAAGCTGAAATTTAGTTCCCATATTCATTCATCCTTTTCAGTAATTTGAAGGGCCAGCAATCGGTCTTAGGTGCATTTATATTTTTAACAATAATTTGCATGTAAGACAAATTCTAGCCACTGAAAATATCAGTTTCAAATAGTAACATTTTGAATTCGGAGCAATTTTTTAAATTTATATTTAGTATTAAAACCATTCATATGATATAAATGTAATCATCCCGATGAAACAGCTCATTCAATAATAACAATTTAAAGCAAAACTTCCAGTGAAGCGGCTATGAAGGTGAGACTGACAATGGCGTCTCTTCGGTGAAGCCATTTCAGCATTTTTAATTGACGGTGGAAAACGAATTTTTCCCAATAAATTTGAAGCCCTGTTCCAACAATCGGACTAGCATTCATGTCCAGAGAGGTAATGCTGAGAAGTAAAATTTGTTTAAATAGTCTATCACATTCCCTTATGTCTCAGGGCAGAAACTTTTGGATCGCCCCTCGTATGTCGAAGTCCCAAAAACCAGTGCAGAACTCAGTCGTAAAAGGTCTGAAATCGTGCTTGGGTCATGAAGGAGCACACCTTCCAACACGTCCTTCTATGGTATTATGATAAAAATTTCTTCGAAATTTTCGAAGTCGAGTCGAAATTTTTAATCTTCCATGTGGATTGCTGTTTATTTCATCGAGTGTCCGACTAGAAATCTCATGGGCTTGCTTGAAATTATTCATGGTGGTTTGCCTGATTGTAGATATAAATAATGCCATATATTTTTGCACTCACTCAACGTTTCCAGGACATACAGAAGGGTCTTAAAACTTTGGCTCTCGTATACTTCTGTACGGATCCCTCAGTTCAAATTCCTTTCTTTCTCTGGGTAGATGATCGTCTCATACCTCATCACATTGATTTTAAATTGGCATTTTCTTTTCTTAAATCATTTTCCAATTTTGTCGTCAAAAGAACACATACTTGTCTAAACGATGTCCAGGATCTTTGATCTTGAATAACAGCAAGACTTTTTTTTTTAATCAAGTTTAACAGGGAGTATTTCAAGAATGCGTACTGCTGTTTAAGCATACAAAACTGATGTTCTTGCTGCTTTATTCACGGGAGTAACTCGAGGTCAATAGTTTTTACATTTGTGATCTAGAAATATGGCCAAGCTATAGACTTCAGTGACAATCGGTCTTTCTCTGAAATCTGTCGCATTCTAAGATATTCTGATTCGGGAGAGGTGTTAGGCCAACTTGATGAAAAATACGAGTTATGATACGTTGCTCAATGTCATGTAGATGCGAAGAACGATATGAATTTGAAATTATGGCATCCAAATGCAGGTGCTTCGAGCATTCCCGGCAATGCAGGAGCACGTGCGGCTCTTCCAAGACCTGCTCCAGGACGAGAGTCTGGATTTTTGGAGGTCTCCCACGGAACTCATGGAGCCCGTTGACATCATGGCTCCTCCAGACAAGGCCACAGAACTAAAGAAGACCCTCTCCGACGCCGTGAGTCTCGTTCAGTAGTACTGTACGTTACATGAGAAATTCAGGCGACGAAGTCTGATAACAGGACGTAACCACAAAATCTCCATTATATCGGGTGGAGCACTAAATTTGCGCGGATATTTTGCGATTATTTCTCGACTTCCAGAGGAGGCAGACAGACGCCTATATATTATACCACGTATACATCTATCTTCCCTCTCGGCTTATATACTATCTAATACCTAATACTTTAATTGAAAGAATCCGAAAGTTGTGGTTGGATGTCATTCCGACGCTCGAGGTCTACGATCGATCTTCCCTTCCGGCCATTCTCATGGCCGGAAGGGAAGATTGGATGGAGGAGGGGACGAAAGAGGACGGCCGGGAATTGAACCCAGGCCTCCTGATTGCCGGTCAGGTGTGCACCACCAAACCCGGGACTTTCGTGCCTCTCACTGACATCCTTATCATTACAGAAGCATCGAAATTTGCCATGCATGTCCTGCATTGCAGCCATACCTAAAACTTTCATGCACTGTCCCGGTATGATGCACGCGGCATGCCCGATGTAGGATTTACATGCAATTCTTTCTTGCAGAAGCAGTAGGACCTTACTAGACCCAAGTTGAACTCAGGCTTAAAAGTGCAATTCGCTCTGTAGAAGGCTTCATTTTGGACCAATGTTGTTCTTTTTTTTAACTTTCACCAGGCCATGTGGTGTCGCTTTTGGACCTCATGCAGGACTTTTGCAATAAAATGCCTCAAGTGCAGCGAAGACTCTCCAATTTGAACAGGCAATCAAATGACTATTGAGCATCAATAACATTGGACATATGATTGAAAAGTGCAACTGTGTCCATGGAGACATTTCCTAAAAGGCCTGGAGAGTCTTAACAGATTCAATCAAGTTTTTAAACCAGAAGCATCACATCCTAGGATTAGATGCACCCTATGAATATGGTATATGGGAAAAAAAAAGTGTTGCTCAAGACGTGATGTGCCCAATGAAGTCAGAAACAACGTTAGCTCCTCAGGAATTTTTTTTTTTATGCAAAGCCTACTGAAAAAATGAACTGAAAATATTGGACATAATACTTTGGCAGAATAACACATCTTTCTTCCATGGTAACTATGGACATATCAGCAGTTACATTGCAGTTTCTTGCAACTTAGAAGATTCTACAGAGCTACTTTGAAGTTTCTTGCTGAAAAGAAATTATGAATCGTATGTATGCTCATATTTCTTTGGAGTTACTTTGAAGATTCTTTGGAATTTCTTGAGTTTTACCAAAAGTCGCCTTACTGGTTGACAATGGAGCCACTGTAAAGTTGAATAGGCATCTCTGCAATGTGTCCAATGTCTTCCTATTCCATGGAGGGAACTTAATGTCAAACATGAAGAAAGATCACAGAATGTAGAATAGCAGGCCATCTGACTCTAGTACATCCACCTCCACACAGCCAAGAGTTTCCATCCATTACCCTTGTCAGCAACAGGGAGTTCTCCATGATGTTCAGGCACCTGGAATTATTATTAAATCAATGGAATTAAGCTGCTGAACATATTTGAACAGCTCCCACAGCAAATTGTCCACACTTTGAGAGGATTGAAAGATATATTATTGAAGTCTCACAAGGGGAAAATATGACAGTATGTTACATACTACACTTAATGCAAAGGGCTGGATTTGCTTAGGATAATAAAGGAGATCAGTCATTTCAGTGTATCACATCTCTGTAGGCAGCTGGCAAAAGCCTTTAGGGATGCCACTGATTTTAATCTGCAGTTCACAGTGTGAGATTATAATTACCAGCACAACTTGATACTTCATTAAAGTAAAACTTTGAAGGCTATGAGTAGTTTGGGAGGTACTCTCTGATGATGAATAATTGGTGAGGCATGGAGGCTCTTTGAAGTGGAAGCACAGAGGGTGATGAAGCTCTGAGCAAGGGACATCTAAAAAATACAACATGAAGAACCTTAACAACCCCAAGTCACAGGTTTAGATTCACAAAGAAATTATGAACAAAATCAAACCACAGTTAAGCACATCCTTCAGTGGCTTCACCACCTTCTTGACTCCTGTAGCAAGTTTGGAACTTCACATCTGGATCTGATGTAAATGTCTTCACCAAAAAGGCACTGTGCCTCATTTTTGAACTAGAGGGAGAGATCAAAAAACTTTTAATTCATGGCAAAGACTGAGAAATATTTAAGTTACCAACTTCCTCTGCAGAAGAGGCATGGATTCTCTTCTTCCCTTCTTCTTCACCGTCTTCCACTTCCTCTTCACGATGAAGTGGAAGACGGTGGTTGACATGCAAGGTCACCCAAACCTCCCCTCTCGACTCGGCTAAAGACGCATTTTGGTGTTGCAAACGCCTTTCAGGCGACCCGACAGGGTCGGGCAGTGTGAGAAAATTCAGTATATGTCTTTATGTCTTTTTCTCTTGAGGAAAATAAATCGAAATGCGAAAATTGAGAGAAGTATATCTCCTCGATTTACCGATTTCTCTGAGCGAAGTATTTGACCACGAAACGAGTCTGATATGCAACGTACCCCTCTGTGAAAATGCATGCTGGGGAGCGGTTCAGGGAAAAGTTTTCTGGAACACAATATTCTGGAATCCGAAGGAACTACAAGCCACGACCATCCAAAAGTGGCATGTTATCTCTCGGGGGTACTTAACAGGGACAATGACGATGATGAGGTGGTAACGTTTACCAGATTTTGGTGGAAATGATGAAAGCCATGTTGAAGGATTCTTTTTTTTTTTTTACTGACTTCGACATAGAGTTGACGTCCTCAAATCCAACAATGATCCTGACTCTCTCCCGGAAATAACTGGCTGAACTGCACTGCTCGAACCCCCCCCCTCCCCCTTATATGCAGCTAATAACACGTATTTCATGCCATCCGTTGTGCTTATAATATAAGGATTGACTGATTCTGTACTGCCAAGGACGTGCCATGGACCACGGTGCTGGAGGATGTTGGAGAGGCAGTGATGTCGTCCATCTCATCAGCTCACCACCCAGGAGTTCACGTTAAACGGCCGACCAGGTTTTCCCCGGAATACCTCCGATTGGATGCTATCCACAATCAGCTCAGATCCCTGGCCAAGGAGCATTCAGCTCTGGCTACTGTGTCCTCAATCGGGAAGTCCTCGGAGGGCAGGGATCTCCTCCTGCTCACCATTCGACATCCTTCTAAGACTCAGAAGCCAGCCATTTGGATCGATGGCGGTCTGTCCTGTCTCATTTATCGATTGAACTTTCGTCACGAAGGGGCATAAGGGCGACGTCATAATTTAGGCAATCATTTCCCTCCATGGGTCCCTTCTGACAAATCTTGCGCTTCACAGCCTTGTTAAAAAATCTTAAGTGTTCATTTCAGCTGTCGTTACAACAAAGAACTGAGATAAGGGAGACTGCTTTTCGTGCTCTTCTCAAACAGGGTGAAAAAGACGTGGAATGAACGAGGTCGAGTTATGGAATGAGTCAATCTCAGATTACCCTATAGGTCCTTCATCCACACGAAAAGAATGATGCAAAAACTTCCAGCAAGATAGTCTACGCCAGCAGTTCTCAAACTGCAGCCCAGTTCATGTTTTTATGCGGCCTACATGTCCTAATAGTTGACTTTTTCATACTAAATCTTTTAACTGACATTCATATTAATAATGATGATTAAACATTTTTCAGCGCAGATTCGGAATCTTGCGATCCTAAATGGTAAATTCAATGTTAAGATGTTCCAGTAATTCAAGTACTTACAATTACACGTTTAAATTGAGACTATTATGTATCAGGTCATCCCATAAGTAATGCGGTTTTTTCGCATTGCAAAATTTGTGTCTTGTTTGTACGTGTATCTATGCACATCTCATGGAATATTTCTATGCTAACTTGTGTAGACGTTAGTTCTCAGTCTACGTGTAGGTTTTAACGAGTTAACAACGTTCCGTTTTTCTTAGACGTTAAAAACAAGATGGAGGTGTCAGAGGAACACATTCGGCATATAATGATTTATGAATTTAAGAAAGGGAATAACGCGACTGCAGCCACGAAAAACATTCAAGATGTTATTGGTAGGGAAGTTCTAAATGCGAGGAAATGCCAACGGTGGTTCCAGAAGTTCAGGTCGGGGGCCGTATTCTATTAAAATCTTAAACTTAGTTTAAGCAAATTGCTCAACCTCGGCCATGCATTGGAGCAAATACCATCTAATCACCTTGCTAAGAGGAAAATCGCACTTAAGAACGTAATAGAATACGGCCCCTGGTCCCTTACGGGAACTCCATATTCAGATTTCGTGCGAATTATCAAATGTGGCCATACAGGGGTGCTTAGCTCGGAATGTGCATGGTACAAATAAATATTACATATGGGAGACTGTATTTGGAAGCCGTCCAGACCATATCATGTTTTGGCCATTCTTAATGAATATGAACTATAGATGGTTCATATATAAGCCTTGTATATGGTGCTTAGTTACAATGTACATGGCACTTATAAATATTTGGCATGTTTTGGTCATGTAAAAGGGATATATGCAACTATATATTTTTAATCTGCAATATAGATGTCCCCCGCATGCATTCTTAATTGGAGATTGAAGCAGAGGCCGAGGCAGTCACTCGACAATGAAACTTAAAATGGGTTTTTTTGTGACTCACGTCACAAGGGGAACCTTACTCCTTCTATGCATCGGACAAGAATTGCCGAGAACCTCCTGAAGCTAGTTTACGCCTCTCAACATATTCATTGATTAGAACGACTTCCTTCCTTCGGTTTGTACGTGGGAAATTATCGAGTTGAGGGTGAAAGCTTCTGCAGAATCATTCATTGCATTTGAGGAAAAGGGAGACATGTAGCGGTGGGATGAGCGCGACCTCGCTCATATTGCGAGAACTTTTTATTTCTTAAACGAACTGCAAGATGTCAGGCCATATGGAAGGCCTTAATGTGGCATGCGCGTGTATCCATGGACAGTACATGGGCTGAACAGTCTCCAAATATATTCCAAATACAGTATTTTTCCCGTATAGTTTATATTAGTGTCATATACATTGCAAACCTAGCACCATATTTTGGGGTCTATATATGAACCATATATAGTTCCATATTTATTAAGAATGGCCAAAACATGATACGGACTGAACTATTTCCAAACAAGGCTAAATTCAGTACTGTACAATCCTATACATACGCCTGTATTTGAAAGTTCCGTAAGGGGTGACTGCAGCTTAGCCGATGAAGCGCGTTCAGGCCGACCTGTTGAGTTCGATGATGACCTGCTGATAGCCACACTTGAAGATTATCCTGCTGCAACAGTTGAAGAACTTGCCCAGAAACTCAATTCGACCCATTTCTCCGTTCATTGCCGCTGGGAAACGACGGCTGGGAAAAGTGTCAAAACTTGGAAAGTGGGTTCCACATGTGTTGTCACCAGGCAATCTTAGAGATCGAGAAAACATTTGCGCTTCACAGCATTCTCGTGAACTTCAAGCGCCGTTTTTGAATCGACTCATTAGCAGGATAATCTTCAGGCAAGTTCTTCAACTGTTACAACAGGATAATCTTCAAGTGTGACTATCAGCAGGTCGTCATCGAACTCAACAGGTCGGCCTGAACGCGCTTCATCGGCAAAGCTGTAGTCACCAGACCTGAATTTTTGGAACCGCCGTTGGCATTTCCTCGCATTTAGAGCTTCCTCACCATAAACATCTCGAATGTTTTTCGTGGCTGCAGTCGCGTTATTCCATTTCTTAAATTCGTAAAGCATTATATGCCGAATGTGTTCCTCTGACACCTCCATCTTGTTTTTAACGTCTAAGAAAAACGGAGCGTTGTTAACTCGTTAAAACCTACACGTAGACTGAAGACTAACGTCTACACAAGTTAGCATAGAAATATTCCATGAGATGTGCACAGATATACGTATAAACAAGACACAAGTTTGGCAATGCGAAAAAACCGCATTACTTATGGGATGACCTGATATATGTCTGTGACGCTCGTGGGTCAGCTTTTGTAGATTAATTTTTCAGCGGAAGATGACGAGAAATGGCCTTTAAGAGTCTGCCGTTGGTCATTTGTATTTAATTTTTTGTTTCATCACCTTTGAAGGTATTATTGCGTCACGTAAAAGCTTGAATGCGACAACGGAGGAAATCAATAAGAGCCTAGCACAAGTCAAAGCCAGCCTATTGAAAAGAGTTACCATGACTAAATTCATGCAAGTACCGTAAGTTCCACACTTTTTACTTACGTGATAAGTTGCAGTAAATGAGTTCATGTTCAGTTTTTTGACATAAATCACTATAGTTCAACAACTATGACTGCAATCTAATTGGAATGTATGTTTCAGTTCAAGGCATCTAGTTGAGGTATGCATCAACTTGATGCATGGTAATCATCCCAATTTCCTTACATCTATCAAACATTTTCGCAACTTCTTGAAATTGTGTCTAGAGGTCTCAACTTGGTCCCCACTTGTAGTTAGACTTTCAATAACGACCCCGTAGTGAAGTGGCTTTAGGGTAAGGGAAAGTAAAAGGCTCTTCCTCCATTTCTTGAGAGTTCGGCAAGTTTTCTCTCCATTGCCTCATCTCAGGACCTGAAACCTTCGCTCGATTTTTTTGCACGCCTTAGGAGACCACGACCCCATGGTCAATATTGAAATTGTAGTGTTTATCTAGTTTTCTCCGAGAATAATCATCCCACACCGTTGAAACTCTATTGATGATTTCTAGGAATAAGAGTGGATTATTAATTTCGTGAGAATGTCAATGTCATGGCTTTTTATGTTTATTTCACTATATGAACACCTACGGGAACTCCATATTCAGATTTCATGCGGATTATTGAATATGACCATATAGGGGTTCTTAGCTCGGAATGCACTTGGTGCAAATAAAAATTACATATGGGAGACTGTAATTGGAAGCCGTTCAGACCATATCATATTTTGACCATTCTTAATGAATATGGAACTATAAGTGGTTCATACATAAGCCCCTTATATGGTGCTTAGTAGCAATGTATATGGCACATATAACAATTTGGCATGTTTTGGCCATATTTAATATATGGGATAAATGTAACTATATATTATTACTAGCGAGTTTGTTTGCCCTTCGGGCAAACAAACTCGCTATGGTTGCGCCTTCGGCGCTCCATTACCTTAGAGAGTCATTAATTCATATATTCCTTGCGAAATGGCAAACACGTATTTGAAGTACATCCCCATTGAAATACGTGATATATGGGGACAAAAGCCTTGATTTTTATCAAAATCTTTACTTATATGATTTCTATTGTGCCTTAGCTGAAATCTTTTCTTGTGTCCCTTTTTGTAAGGGTGGAGAATACATTTTAAAATACTTCCCTCCTATAATCTACGCTAAGGGGACATATTTCAAAAGTATAATTTTTCCTCTACTCAGCCATCAAACAAGCACTCTGAGGGATGTTTAAATTATCTGCTTCTGCTTCGTTGGATCAAAAACAAATTCAGGAAAATGGGACTGAAAAAATGCCCTGATGGGTTTTAAAGAAAATTTCTTCTTTTCAAATGTAGACTCTGGGATCTCCATGCCACCCAATTTCAGCCTCACACGTTTCCCCTTTTTGCTGGCGATAAAGAAATGTATTTGGAAAAGCGACCCACCAAAAAGTTGTGCCCTGAGGAGACGCACAGCAAAAGTTGAATTTTTCCTTAAATCAGCATGACGTCCGTTATGCGTGCGCCAGCTGCTACTTTCATATTTCTGCTCGATCCACTCGGATATGAGAAATTATTGAAAAAAGTAAAGTCCCTAATAAATTTCCCCCCCCCCAATTCCAATATTTTGGAAATGTGACATTTTTCCTGAGCTCAGTGCGTCAGCAGTCACGTTTTCCCCAAGTTACAGCTTTCCATGTGTCTCCGTTTCATTGAAACAAATAGAACTATTTGAAAATATGTGCATAGAAAAGTATAATAAAAGTAGAATTTTTCCGTTACTCAGCTATACATCAGGTTCTTCTTTGCCAAGTTTAAAATTTCTTGCACCCTATGTTTCGCAGGATCAATAAATTTGGGATAATACGCCTTTTGCAATATATGAGTAATGACGCGTTTTAACCGGCAAGTAAATTTCTTTTTTTGCCTACATCAATCCTCAGAGAACTACATACCCACAACGTTTCAATAGTTGCCCTTTTCGCTGGTGAAAAAAATGCTTGGAAAAGCCGACCCACCCAAAAGCTCTGACCGGAGAGGATGCACCATGAAAGCTAAATACTCCCTCAACTCAGTAATATCATGTCACTTATACGTGTGCCAATTTTCACCTTTCTATTTCTGTCCAATTCGGCATGATACAATTTTTCTTTTAAACATCGCCACGCGTCTTCATGGGGATGTGTTGATACTTAACATTTTTCTTTAACTCCTTGTCTCAGTAGTCACATTCATGCAAAGTTCCAGCTTTCCATGTTCACCAGTTTACCAGATGCAAAAAAAAATTAGTTGAAAACATCTCCCTTTGAAATTTGTGCCCACAGGGCATATA